TAAATGTGTATTTAGAAGGATTTTAAAATTCTGAGTGTGTATTCACTTCATGCTAGTATTTAATTCAGCACTTTGCATGACATTCTGCACTCTTTTTTCTAATAATACATTATTTTTCAAGGAAACTGAACATGGCTTATGACAATTTTTTGTGGATTTTTGTGCAGTTTTGTTATTTTTGTTGTGTCTTATTATATTTGATTATTGCAAATCATATGTAACTACATTTAGTAACTGCACTGTATTCATACATCTCAGATTGCAGGGTATGAAACAAATAACCCTCCTAGCGCCCTCTGGTGACTAAACCTGTTGACATATCTGCTGTTCCTACAGAAAGTGGGTGGTCCCAGATGAGGGGTATTGTGGGCCCTATTCACTTTTATTTAAAAACATATGGTCATTAACTGTGGGATGAGTGCTGCACTCTAAAAAAAAATCTGTAAGAATAGGGCACAATATACTGTATAATTTGAAGGATTTTTTCCGTATTTATTTTTTTTACTGGTGTTTTACAAGTATTTTGAATTTTACACTTCATTGCATTGTGTTTTAGAGTTAACAGAAATGTCCGTAAAATGAATGTATAATGTCATGTGTAATGAGCTGCCAGTACCTTTTCTGTTATTTTACAGATTTATTTTTTTACAGTGTGTGTTGAAAATAACTTTCTTAATACAGTCAAAAAATTATTACATTTCATTTAAGGCTGTCAGTCGGTTAACATTTTTAATCGAATTAATTACATGATGTGTCGATTCATTCATCTAATTAATTGCAAATTACATTTGGCTTTGAAAATACCCACAAAAGATTATTTAAAGCTATTTTTGTGTTAAATGAGAAAGTATTATGTAGAGATTACAAATAGTAGCTTTAGAAAAATATATTTAATTTGATTCAACATAAAATGTATTGCACATTAACGTTTAGGCTACAACGCCCTAACATAAATGGAACATAAAAGAAGATAATTTGAGAAACATCTCAGTTTTTTCCCCGTTTATGCAATGAAAGTCATTGGTAACCAAAACAGCTTTGTTACCAACAGTCTTCAAAATATACTTATTTTATGTTCCACAAAAGAAAGTAAGTCATTCAGGTTTGAGTAAATTACGTAATTAATTTTTTAAAAGTTTTTTTCCCCCTTTTTTATTTTAAATTAAATAAATGAAATGATACAATAATACTCTAAATAAGTAACTAAATTTGACAGCAGGTGGCGGTAAATGTCTTTATGAGTCATAAATTCGAATTCATTCGAATCATTCAAACGGCTGATTCATTCAGGAATTGAGTAAACGGCTCACTTTATAGCTGTGTCCCAAAGCTGAGTATGCACACTTCGAAGGCCAGGCCTCCGAAGTGCATGAAGAATGCTCAGCCTTCGCAGGATTTCCTAATTGTGACACCAGAGGTTCACATTAGCGCTCTGTCGCATAGCAACAGTGCCAGAGGAGAGTTTACGAGAGGACAATCCTGCCAAGATAGGTGGAGCCAGAATTGCTCATTTTTGTTTTTATGTTTTGCTTCATAATAGAGGAGACGGTGATGTACCTCAGGCTTAGCCAAGACCGAGGCCAGGTAAGTTACACTGGTTTGCTGCGTCCTTTGTCGGATTACAACTTTAAATGCAAGAATTGGCTTGGAGCTTACTTGAATAATGTAATGATACATATGAAAAACTACAAAATACACACATACACATAGCAGTTCAAATGCTGACTGATATCTTACTTACAAAGGTGCGATTTTAAATAGTTTATTGTCTTGACCATGGTGATCATATTGCATATCACAGATTCAACCCGGATTTTTTAGTCAGTTAAGCATAAAAATAAAACTGTGAATAAAATAAAAAATAGAGCATAGTACAGCTCAATGTTCAGAGGCAGCTGACACAGCTGAACAGTGCTCTGTATGACCGGTGCCAGTCCTTCAGATGCAGCCTTTGATCTAGTTAGCACACATTTGTTAATATTCTGACAAAATGTTGATTCTTTCATTTTCAAAATAATCAGAGGTGGATTGTAAGGAAGTACATTGGTTAAGTATACTCGAACAAATATGAAGTACTAAGTGTTCATGTTTTTTTCTCACAGGACAGCAACACTACAAAAATATGGTCTTTTACAACATGATGCATTGTTGTAGATTAAACTACCCAACAGTATATTTAGTAGGCAACTTTCAATTTAATAACCTTGAACATATTCAGAAGTAAAATGCAACATACACAGTAGTGCAGCAGAAATATTAATGCAAAACCATCCTGACTAATTATTTTTTCAGAACAATACTGTATACCTTTACTTTTACTCTCAATACATTAAGTATATTCGAGTATGCACGATAATACTTTTACTTAAAGGATAGTTCAGCCAAAAATGAACTAATTCTGTAATCCTTTACTCAAGTTGTTCCAGGTTTGGAATTGTCATTTTTGGGTGAATTATCCCTTTAACTAAGGTTTTAAATATGACTAGTAGCTTTTCCCCAATATGGTATTGGTAGTTACTAAAAGTAGTTTACTAAAGTACCTCAATATTCCTTCTACTAATTACTTTGTCATAGCTCTAAACAATTTATCTTTTCCTTCTTTCCCTAAATCAGACCAGACCCCTGTACTGCAGGATAAAGCTGAATGTGCCAGCGCTGGACAGGTTTTTAATGGTTTTTAGCAGCGAGGCCCTGACAGTGCTGCTGGAACTTCTGAGAAGTGAACGGCAACAGTGATGGGGTGCCCCAGTCCAGACCCTGGTGTTTCTCTTCTGTCTGCCAGTGGTACATCATACAGAGTGGTCTCCAGAGTGTTTGACATGCCTCGAGTCGCCGAGGAGGTGCTGGCCATTCACCAAGAGATTCACCTCCTGAAGACCCCAGAACACATGGAGGCAGGGCTGGGCTCAAAACTGATGTTGTTTTTCTGATGTTAAACCTAAGCTATGTTGTAAATAGTTGTAAAAAGTACTTTCAGTAATGTATAGAACAATTTGTTTTAATGTGTAGAAAAAAATATTTACAAGACAAAAAAATAAACATAAAAGAATGTTTTGTGAAAAGTATAAGCTGCATTTAAAAAAATGAATGTACAATAATTCTCTTTTATTTACACATGTGAATATGCAAAACAAAAATACAAATTGTACAGAAAGTACTCAGGATCATTTACAAATAAATTACACTACAAAAAGGAATAATGTATACAATGTATTCATTTCATTTTTAACTTGCATCACAAAAATAATTTGTCACAAAAATAAATTAGGTTGTTTCATTGACAATGTGACATTTAAAAAAAGATATTGAAAAACTATAATGTGTCCCATTTTTTCCACTGCTTTCTCTTGCCTAATAGAGAATGGCCAATAATGTATTTGTTAAGCATTCTCTCAAGAAGAGAAAACAGTCCCTCTCATTGCTTTCCTGTGCTCTTCTCTCCTCTGTCTGTCTCTCTCTTGAGTTTGATATCCTCTTTGAGTAGTTCCAGCTTCCACTCACTCCCTCACCTATCCCAGGACACTTGCAATCCTAAGGCAGAGCAAATAAACCATGCCTGTTAACAACAACAGCACAATGAATTTCAGCAAAAAATATGTGTATTAACTTGCTTACTTTGTATTTTTTAAATGAGGTGGATTATGAGTCTTCAATATAATGCGTGCAATAAAGATACACGCAATTTTCTTAAATGTCTGCTTTTTGGAAAATCCTTGCCAATCTTCTGCTGGCAGTCAGTCTTTTCGCACAAACTTTGCTCTGTTGTTCCATCTGTTCAGCTTCTGCTCCTTTTCATGTGGGCCCATGTGGGAAGAGTGTTACACTCAATATGCTTCACATATCTCTCTTTTTTCAAGTTTATTGGCCAGATACAGAGTTTATGTTCTGTTCTTGTTATGCATATTCATTTTTTCCATACAACAAAGACTTTCAAAAGTGATTGGATAAATGAAGTTCATCATCATAAGACCTCCTCCAGTTTACCTTAAATGAAGATGTTTTTCCTTATATAAAGTACATAGATAATAGTACCTCTTTTCAAAACTAGAAGTGTCATCTCTTTCAAAATACACATGTGTGTGATCAGCAAACTTGTGTGTGCTATTATGTACATAGGAAACATAATTTTGTTGCTGAAAGGTGACTAAAAAGTATTTCTACTAATAAAGTAATGGTAGGGGAACTTGTGTCCAGTTATCTGAAGGCCTTATTATCCTTAAAATTAGGTTAAGTGCTTTTAAACAGCATTTATTTATTTTGTTTGTTTGTAATGTGCTATATATGAAATCATAGAGAGTATAGTAATTATTCATAATAATCCAGTCCAGCAGGTGGCGGTATGAACCTGTTCAGTTGTTTGCTACCCGTCAGTAAAACCCACGAACTAAAGGCGAAAACGAAAGTAACCATGAAAAAAGTACAAAAAGTACAAAACCATGTAGAGATAACAAGAGAAAGCGTTGCTCATTGGATTTTTTTTCATACATTTCGCTCAGACCCTACCAAGTTTAACATTCGCTGACATATAAGTACATTTAATCATATGAGACATCTCAACATTCATTTTCCTACACCTAAATTTGTTCTAGTCAGTTGATATTCACACCACAGGCGTCTCACATGGCAACAAGTCAAACCAATGACTAACATTAAGCAATTACTAAACATTAAGCAGCTCACAATGTTCACAAACTAAATCATTACTGTCTACATTTAACTGCATCCACAAACTTATACAATCAACAGTAGGAGATCACATAGGCCTACATATCGGCGAGAGCTACCAATTGAATCTCGAGATTCAACGCACATACTGCAAAGTGGTGTGATGGACAAGACAGAAGAAATATTCGTAATTTCTTAATCAGAACGGGTCTGATGAGGAGAATATGATGGAGGAAATAAACCAGCGTAACAGGAAAATAATCCACAAGGTGGTGGTAATTCAAAGTTTTTGGATGCAAGCCGCCGTTAAACCTCAAAGAAGAAGACTCAACAACGCGCGCGCGCTCAATACGGCAGTGGACACGACGAGCGGTCAAAGAAAACTTACTTGGGCAACCTAGGATATCAGAATGGCCAGTCTGTTAGCCGTCACCAGAATCTACAAACATACAGCAGTTTAACGACACGGAATGTTTTACCAGAGACTTGCATTTGTGTGGGAATCGGACTACGCGACAAGCAACAAAGAGTAAAGTAACGTACAGGGAATGAGTGTTTTAAATACTTACACATGATTTATTAGTGCACACGATTGCAAGTAAATTTGATATCGATTACAGGTTTAAAAGGGATTTCATACCGTATATGTGCTTTAAATTTGAAGTTGCAAATTCTGGTGTTTGTTTCTTTGCTTTTTTTTTTTTTTTTTAAAGAACAAAAATATAGTCGACGGGGAAGTCGTGGTCTAATGGTTAGAGAGTCGGACTCGTAACTCAAAGGTTGCGGGTTCGAGTCTCGTACCGGCAGGGATTGTAGGTGGGGGGAGTGAATGTACAGCGCTCTCTTCCACCTTCAATACCACGACTGAGGTGCCCTTGTGCAAGGCACCGAACCCCCAACTGCTCCCCGGGCGCCGCAGCATAAATAGCTGCCCACTGCTCCGGGTGTGTGTTCACGGTGTGTGTGTTCACTGCTGTGTGTGTGCATTTTGGATGGGATAAATGCAGAGCACTAATTCCTAGTATGGGTAACCATACCTGGCCACATGTCACGTCACACACTATATATAATAATTTACAAAACAAGTGAAAACACAACTCTGTCACTCACAACAAACATTAACAACAACAACAAACATGAGTAGACAAAGAACCAGGAAAATAAACAAACCAAACCAAACACTGGGCCATTCAGGGGCATTTCCTCCAAGAAGTATCTTTGTGGATACAATAATCTTATTAGTGATTCAATATTTGTAGGGCAAGGAAGGACCTATCCTTTATATAGCGTTATTTAACCCAATACAATATTACAGAAGAAACATTTATATCTTCATGAAAGATTTGCTGAATCTTTCTATTCCAGAGAAAAGGACTGGAACAAGCAAACTTTTCCTATTGCAGTATCACAAGAATGTGACAGAGATAGAGGGAAAAATTCCGCTGAGTTAAAAAAAATAAATAAAAATACAATAGCTTTACTGGGCATGGCATCCATTATGGTAAAGTCTCATGGGGTGACAGGAACAGTGTTGGGGGTAACGCATTACAAGCAACACGAGTTACGTAATCAGATTACTTTTTTCAAGTAACTAGTAAAGTAACGCATTACTATTTAATTTACAAGAAAATATCTGAATTACTTTAAAAAAAAAAAAAGGAAGTACAGAGGCGTTGTGTGCGCTGTGTGAACATGATGTAGTTCTAGACTAAATGTGAATGTGCATTAATTCATCCCACTCACAAAAAAAAACAGATTTAGTATTCATCAAAATGAATTAAAACAGTGAAATGCAAACTCAGAATATGACGCAAACCTGCAATAATTAAATATGTTAAATAACACAAATGTATCTAATCCCATTTTATTAACTAATGTCTTTGCTGCTGACCTTTGATGATCCAGTTCAACCGTACTAATAAGCAAAAATTACTTTTGATAAACTAAAAATTGTGCTTCATTGTTTTTTTTATTGCTGAAGAATGTTGAACCTTCTTCTCCGGTGTTCTACTGTACAGACGTGAATTTACTTTTCCTTCAGCCTGAGGTTTATTCATTACACTTTTTGGTGTGAAAGGGTTTTTACATTAACTATAAATAGAACTTTGTATATTAAAAACAATCAAGTCCTGCTCATATTTAAAAAGTAACGCAAAATAAAAAGTAACTATGTAACATAATTAGTTACTTTTTTAGGGAGTAACGCAATATTGTAATGCATTATTTTAAAAGTAACTTTTCCCAACACTGGACAGGAATAGAATGTGTAGTGCAGAATAGGGATGCGCCGATCCGATATTCATATCGGGTATCGGCTCGGATACTACCATTTTTGTCGGATCGGGTATCGGTCAGAGAGGGCCGATCCAAATCCGAGATTGTGCGTATTGTTACTTCTGAAGCTATACCATAGCTTAAAGGGTTACTCCACCCCAAAATGAAAATTTTGTCATTAATCACTTACCCCCATGTCATTCCAAACCCGTAAAAGCTTTGTTCGTCTTCGGAACACAATTTAAGATATTTTGGATGGAAACCGGGAGGCTTGTGACTGTCCCATTGACTTGCACTGTCAAGGTCCAGAAAAGTATGAAAGACATCGTCAGAATAGTCCATCTGCCATCAGTGGTTCAACCGTAATGTTGTGAAGTGACAAGAATGCTTTGTGTATGAGAAGAAAACAAAAATAACGACTTTATTCAACAATTCTTTGTGTGTCTTTCCGCATCACTGTAGCACTATTTTAGAGAATATCCGCTCTGAACGCAGGCAGCATAGGCTCTTCTGTGTCAGCTGCGCTGTTTTCCTTCAAATTTAAAGCTTAAATACCTTATACAGTCTATGGTAAATACACGTAGAAAACGTAGGCCTATCCCTTTAATGTGAGCTACATATGAATATTTAAGTCCTTACATTAAAGTTCACACAAACTCTTTTCTCCGCTGTGGCTGTCAGTCAGTCGTTCAGCCTTTAAATCCTGGTTGCATTCGGTTACGACAGTCAGCTCGGTAAAGTTCTCTCCAAGATCATTCTGTGTTCCAATTATACTTGATTTGTAAATAAATGTCTATGGTTTTGCAAAAAGGACTTTATCTTCTTGCTGGAGTTTAATGTTGTTTTGTTACTTGCTACCGGGTGTCTGTGAGAACAAAACACGGGCGTAGAAAAGACTATCAATTGTTTTTAACGTGCACAGTAACTGAAATTTAAAACTGTTAAAAGAAAGGCTCAATAACTGTTGGACAGATATAATACACTACGCATCAATTTCTCTTCCCTTTGTGCTTTGCACTTTTTAATGCAAAGTGCTGCGTGCTGTGACTCCATGTTGCTTCAAGAGCATCATTCTGCACACCGGATGCGCATATTGTAAGCGCTTCATGCCGCACTGTATTTGTTATCGAATCTATCATAGATTACTGTATTTACCTATCGAATCTATCATATGTTGTTGCCTTATTTAAAAAAAAATGCTATACATTTAAAATAAATGTATTTTAATATTATACTTATAAATACAATCATGAATGGTTTTTCATTAATGGATTTTATAATACAAATAGCAATGTGTAACATTTTACCGTATTTAGTGCAACACTTATTTGTTCCACACAAAATATAGTTTTTTTTTTCACTAAATGTTTGAATTTCTAAAATTATTGTGCACTGATTTTTGTAGATACATTTTTGCTGACGAATTATCCACTAATCTAGTTTATGATGTATTTTTGTCATAGATTATGAATATACATATATTTTTTTATATTTATTGTTTATTTTTCTTTACAATTAAGTAGTCTGTATTTAGTAGATTGTGAAAGAATGATTATCAGTTCCACACAGAGATATATCAATTCTACATTTATTTAAATGGAAACAAAAAAAAAAAACTTCCCTAGTATCGTATCAGTATCGGCCAATACTGAACCCTAGGTATCGGAATCGGTATCGGAGGTGAAAAAGGTGGATTGGAGCATCCGTAGTTCAGAATAAATTCAGAATAAGAAAGCAAATGACCATTTGTGTTATTACCGTATTGACCCGAATATAAGACAATGTTTTTTTTCTTGGAAATACATCTGGGGGGGGGACATAATTGGGAACAGTGTCGGGAACCGATTTATCTTTAATGTACTTTTTTAAAGAAGAGCAGTCTAGGAAATTTAGACCTCAGTGTTCAATGGTGTTTATGACAACAGATTTTTTAAAATTTCTTTTTATTTAATATATCTTGTGTTTTCATCAAAAAGGATTCTGTCAACCTCTACACAAATTGATTTGTCTACATACAAAGAAAGAGCAGGGCAGGTCAATCTAGAAACACCTCTGCTGTGGCGAGGAGAGTCCTTCCTTGTAAAGACAAGTCTCTTTGGAGCCAGGAATGTTACACTGAATTATCAAATTCTGTGTCTGTAGTAGGCACTTTATCCTAATCCTAACCCTAACCCTACTGTCACTACAGCACCTACTACTGTCAGAGAATTCGGTGATATCATACACCTGTGTATTTTATAGGCTAAAACTTCATTAGAATGAAGAAGCTGCTAGAAATTACTTAAATTTTTTTGAATGGCCCATACTTTAAAACATGAAGTTTATTTGAGAAGGGTTATTGAAATTTGGAAGTTTCTGAATGTTTTTTCCCCATTTTCTCTTTTACTTTAGGCTTATGTTTTGTTATATTAAATCTAAAGTATTTTAAACTAGACATTTATAGTTAGACAAGTACAGAAGAAAGCCTATGTGGTGAAAAGTTATTTTAGGAGCATTTGAAAATGGGATATATTGTGAACTTAATGTCGTGATTAAATCAATGGCAAAATAAGAACTGATTCTACAATTAATAAACTAGAGTAATTAGGATTGTAAAATTATATTTAACTGCAATACAAACAGTTTTTCCACTCAAAGGTTTAATCACAGTGTTTGTAATGTCCATTTCCAAATTAACATGTCATTTAAACTCATTAAATTATATGAACGTATTAAGGTTTACTTTTTCTACATGAGAATATATTTGGTTGTAACCTACATTATTTTATACAGTGTTTTTTTTTTACGCTTGAATTTTCTTGAATAATCGCCATCTTATTTATCTCAGTAATATTGTCATCTCCAGGTCATACTAAACGATTGATTGTTTTCACAAACCAGTCTATTTAGCTGCTGTATCTGAGGAGTGAGGAAAGGTCTTGAGATGAATTTCTTCGAGAAACGGAGGTAAGACTTTTTTTTTTTTCCTTCTGTTTTGTATTTACAAAACTTCTGTTTTGAACTTCCTACATGTATTATATAGATACAGGTCAAACATAAACCTCTTCTTAGAACAACATTTTTATGGCAAACGGTTTTATAGACAATGTCACGGTTAAAATGTAAACTATATACAGTGTTTCTATCATGACTGTAGATGTTTTGGGACTATCAATTAATGATTGTAATTGACTGATTGAAGTAATATATACTATGAATGACTAAAACCACATTAAAAAACGCAATGGATAATACAAATTTTAAATCATTAAGGCAATAATTTACAATCTGAATCAAATTTACAGTTTCTCCCTCAGCAGCTTTATTGCCCTCGCAGCAGTAGGTTTTTTTTTTCTGGCAGGGTAATATGAGGGTTGTTATATTACAGTGCTAAAGTAGTGTTAAAAATGTACATTAATTTCTCAAATTAAAATATTATTTACATTTTTTTAATTTTCAAATTTTCAAATCTGCACACAAGTAGGGCAAAGGCTCTCCAAATGTTTTTGCTTCAGTAGCGACCTAAAGAGCCTTTGCCCTATTTGTTGTGTACGGATCCTTTTTCTTCTTTGACATCTTAAAGAAATTGGTAAACAAGAATGATGTTGTAATATCATTCTTTCGTAATATCACCCCTCGCCACAGATGTTAACTTTTAAACCATTATTGTGTGTGTTTCTTTGAATGACTAGAGAGCGTGCTTGCCATTATCAGATACAAGTAGTTTCTCTCTTCTCTGTGTGTCATTAGTGTGAGATCAGGTTCACATGTGTCCAGCTCTGTGTCTGTGAAGAGTGACCATTCAAAAGGTGGCATGCCAAACTTTCGTGAGAAAAAAACATCTATTAAAAGGTATTTCATGTTACATTATAGCATTGGGTTAGCTAATTTTTTCACAATGGAGTATGAAAGAACTTGACTAATAAAATAAATTATAAAACATGATGTTTGACAATTTTTGTTGAACTCTGTAACAGTTATACAATTACACAGGTAGCCACTAGGGAACATAAATTCATGATTGAAAATAGATCATTTAACCAAACATGAACTTTGTCCTTCCTTATATGCTCAGTCATAGATGGACAAATGCACAACTGTACTGTATTTAAAGGAGTAGTTCACTTCCAGAACAAAAATTTACAGATAATGTACTCACCCCCTTGTCATCTAAAATGTTCATGTCTTTCTTTCTTCAGTCGTAAAGAAATTATGTTTTTTGAGGAAAACATTTCAGGATTTCTCACCATATAATGGACTTCTATGGTGCCCCCGAGTTTGAACTTCCAAAAATGCAGTTTAAATGCAGCTTCAAAAGGCTATAAACAATCCCACCCGAGGAAGAAGGGTCTTATCTAGCATAACGATCGGTTATTTTCTAATTTTTTTTTTTCAATTTATATACTTTTGAAACTCAAACGCTCGTCTTGTCTAGTTCTGTGTGAACTTTCTTTTTTCCGGTTCATGGCAGTTAGGGTGTCGAAAAACTCCCATCTCATTTTCTCCTCCAACTTCAAAATCGTCCTACATTGCTGAGGAAGTACCGACCCAGTGTTTAAGTGCAAGGTGAACATGCAAAGAAGGTCAAACGCCCTTTACAAAAAATGGTAAAACAGCAATGTGAGACGATTTTGAAGTTGGAGGAGAAAATGAAATGGGAGTTTTTCAGCATACCCTAACTGTCATGAAATGGAAAAAAACTGAGTTCACGCAGAGCTAGACAAGCGTTTGAGTTTAAGAAATATATAAATTGTAAAAAAAAAATTAGAAAATAACCGATCGTTATGCTAGATAAGACCCTTCCTCCTTTATAGCCCTTTGAAGCTGCTTTTAAACTGCATTTTTGGCAGTTCAAACTCGGGGGCACCATAGAAGTCCATTATATGGAGAGAAATCCTGAAATGTTTTCCTCAAAAAACATAATTTCTTTACGACTGAAGAAAGAAAGACATGAACATCTTAGATGACAAGGGGGTGAGTACATTATCTGTACATTTTTTTTCTGGAAGTGAACTACTCCTTTAATTACCATTTGCACAAAATCATTTTCAAATGAGACTGGTAATTTTTTTCCCCCGTCATTAGGAAAAGATCATACTCGCATGTGTTCAGCTCTGAGTCTGTGAAGAGTGACTGGTCAAAAGGTGATGTGCCGAACTTCAGTGAGGAAACTATCAAAAGGTTTTTCATGCGTTTCTTTTCTTTTTCTTTTGTGTGTGTGTGTGTGTGTGACACAGTGTTAGAAAGTGTTTCTTTGAATGCTTATCATAAAACTTTATAAATCAAATATATATATATATATATATATATACACAGTGGGGAAAAAAAGTATTTAGTCAGCCACCAATTGTGCAAGTTCTCCCACTTAAAAAGATGAGAGAGGCCTGTAATTTTCATCATAGGTATACCTCAACTATGAGAGACAAAATGAGAAAAAAAATCCAGAAAATCACATTGTAGGATTTTTAAAGAATTTATTTGCAAATTATGGTGGAAAATAAGTATTTGGTCAATAACAAAATTTCATCTCAATACTTTGTTATATACCCTTTGTTGGCAATGACAGAGGTCAAACATTTTTTCTCTTTGCTAAAAATCTTTACAAGAGATTTGTCATTAGATTTTTCCTTGGAAATGCCATATTTTGTTTCATTGTATTTGTTAACAGGTTTAAATGCAATACAATAGAGTCATACTTCCAGACTCTCGGGAACCAAAAGAATTTCAAAGACAATCTCCTAGGAGTCTTCCATGTAAGAAAACAGATTTTAAATGTATAATATATAGTGTGTGTGCGTGTGTATTTATACAGATCAGGCATAACATCATGACAACTGACATGTGAAGTGGATAACACAGATCATCTTTTCATCACGGCACCTGTTAAAGGGATAGTTCACCCAAAATTGAAAATTACCCCATGATTTACTCACCCTCAAGCCATCCTACATATACACCATATGACATTCTTCTTTCAGACGAATACAATTGGAGGTGTATTAAATAATGTCCAGGCTAATCCATGCTTTATAATGGGAGTTGATGGTAGTCCAAAATCGATGCATTTTGTGTAAGAAAAATATTAATATTTACAACTTTAAAAACTTTAATCTCTAGCTTCCGCTTACTGTCATACACGCATTCACGAGAGAGTGGTGTCCAGCGGTGACGTAGCACGTAGGCAAACGCGGTGACGAATGCGGAAGTGATGAACGTGGAAGCACAAAGGAGAGAGCAAAACAAAATAATCATTTTAACTCATTAACGCACGCATGACAGTTAGCGGAAGCTAGAGATTAAGGTTTATAAAGTTGTAAATATGGATATTAGGGATGCACCGATACCACTTTTTCCAGTACTCGCCCGATACAGATACTTTTATTTTTGGTATTTGCCGATACCGAGTACCAATATTTTTATTGCATTTGTACAAAAAGAGCCTGACCCTTGGAGGCATGGACTCAACTAGACCCCTGAAGGTGTGCTGTGGTATCTGGCACCAAGATGTTAGAAGCAGATCCTTTAAGTCCTGTAAGTTGCGAAGTGGGGCCTCCATGGATCGGGCTTGTTTGTTCAGCACATTCCACAGACACTCAATTGGATTGAGATCTGAGGAATTTGGAGGCCAAGTCAACAAAAAGAGTATGTATAATGTTAGTTGGTTAACTTAATTTATCAAAGAGATACAGTCAAACCAAAATTTATTCAGACACCTTCAACATTTCTCACATTATCACAGTTTATTCACTATAGTTTAGAAAATGGTAATAAAACATGACAAGAACTCAGAGTTATACTGTGTCAGAACAAATTCAGCTTGATAATGTTAGATAACTTTGATTGAAAGGTATGTAATGGATTACAATCAACCAAAAATTATTCAGACAGCTGTTAGTATGACAGTATTTACACAACTATCAATACTTAGTCGGGCAATACTTATTTTGCTATCCTCACTTACATAAATGAACTGTAGTGTCCTGCACCCACTAGATAAAAAATATAAAAAATTATATCTGGTCTCGGAATAATTTTTGGTTTGACTATATATCCTTTGGTTATTTTCACACTTAATTATGCCCATTAAAAATGTATTTTACAAGTTTTTATTTCATCTGAAACGTGCTGTGATTTATATTCCAAAGCCACTCATATAATGCAGAAACACTCAAGCAAGCAAAACACGCACAACGCGTGCACGTATTTGTACTGGTGCAGAATGAGAGGGACAAGTAGTACAGCCTAGCGCATTTCTCACAGGCTGCTAGATTCACTTTCGCCAGAAAGTCGTGCTTAAGGTTGAAAATAAATGATGTTTATAGTAAATGCCCCTATAAATAGTCTTATTTTTACAATTTAGTTTTAATCCAAATTATGAGCGTGCTAAGTGAGTGAACATCAAAGATCACACAACAGAAGTGCGCTCTCTCTCTCTCTACACCATTAAGTAACTTGTGCATTGTTTTACTTAAAGGTCCCATGACATGCTGCTTTTTAGATGCTTTTATATAGGCCTAAGTGGTCCCTAGTACTGTATCTGAAGTCTCTTTCCCGAAATTCAGCCTTGGTGCAGAATTTCAGCCACTACGAGCCAGTCCTACAACCCAGGGCTCGGTTTACACCTATCGCCATTTCTAGCCACTGGGGGACCATAGGCAGGCTAGGGGAAATCATATTAATGTTAAAAAACCTCATAAAGTGAAATTTTCATGCCATGGGACCTTTAATTGTTTTTGACATATCCGACCGAATATCCGACTGCGCTCAATCCACTCAGAGTGCTTTGCTCATCAGCTCATGTACATCAGCTATACAGGCGATAATACTGAATGTTTAACATTATATTAATTGCATACATACACTTCGTAGACATCCTTAATCTCTAATAACTCACCGATACAGTATCGGTATCAGTGCATCCCTAATGGATATTTTTCTTACACAAATGCATCGCGTCACTTCAGAAGGCCTTTATTAACCCCCCGGAGCCGTGTGGACTTCTTTTATAATGGATGGGTGCAATTTTTTTTACTTCAGATTTTGGGCTACCATCCATTCCCATTATAAAGCATGTATTAGCCTGGACATTATTTAATACAACTCCGATTGTATTTGTCTGAAAGAAGAATGTCATATACACCTAGGATGGCTTGAGGGTAAATTATTGGGTAATTTTAATTTTTGGGTGAACTACCCCATTAATGGGTTGGAAATATTAGGCAGCAATTAAACATTTTGTCCTCAAAGTTAATGTGTTAGAAGCAGGAAAATTGGGCAAGCGTAAGGATTTGAGCGAGTTTGACAAGGGCCAAATTGTGATGGCTAGACGACTGGGTCAGAGCATCTCCAAAACTGCAGCTTTTGTGGGGTGTTTGATAGATACTGTCTGCAGTGGTCAGTATCTATCAAAAGTGGTCCAAAGAAGGAACAGGGGTGAACCGGCGACAGGGTCATGGGCAGCCAAGGCTCATTGAGGCACATGGGGAGCGAAGGCTGGCCCGTGTGTTCCGATCCAACAGACGAGCTACTGCAGCTCAGATTGTTTAAGAAGTTAATGCTGGTTCTGATGGAAAGGTGTCAGAATACACAGTGCATCACAGTTTGTTGTGTAGTCAGGGTGCCCATGCTGACCAGTCCACCGCCAAAAGCGCCAACAGGCATTATTGACAACTGGACCACGGAGCAGTGGAAGAAGGTGGCCTGGTCTGATGAATCACGTTTTCTTTTACATCACGGATGGCCGGGAACGTGTGCATCGCTTACCTGAGGAACACATGGCACCAGGATGCAGTATGGGAAGAAGGCAAGCCGGCAGAGGCAGTGTGATGCTTTAAGCAATGTTCTGCTGAGAAACCTTGGGTCCTGCCATCCATGTGGATGTTACTTTGACGTATACTACCTACCTAAGCATTGTTGCAGGTAGGGATGGAACGATTACCGGTTTCACGATAAATCACGATAAAATGCCCTGACGGTTAGTATTACCGTTTAAAATTTAATTATCATCAAAACAGTATTTGATTATCGCGTTTTTGAAAACTTGCAGTAAATCCTGTCCAGCCAGCATCAGTCTGACGCAGAAGCAGCATGCAATGTTGTTGTTGTTGTTGTTTTTTGCACAAGAGGAAATGGCGGAAGGCATTGACAGCGCTCTGGAGATTTTTCAGCCATCTATGAGGACCAAATCGTTGGTCTGGTCGTATTTTGGCTTTTACAAGAGTCCTGAAGGCAATTTAATCGAGGACGGTCACCCTGTCTGCTGATCTTGCAAGAAGAAAGTCGCTGCAAAAGGGGGAAACGCATCAAATTTGCTCAGTCATCTTCGTGACACTGTTAGCGAATGCAAGGTAACTTTTACCTCAATACCAAAACTAACTGGGCAAATAATTGGACAAAAAATATTGATTAGAGATTAAATATTTCGTTATCTCACTTGTAATTAACGCAAAGCTTCCGCGAAGAAAAGTTCGCAGCAAGTGGCTTTGAGCCAAGAGGAACGAGCTTTCAAACTATAAGGTTGACATTTAAGGGATAATGTATTGTATATTCATAGCTAACTTATTACACTGATTTTTTTTTTGTTTACATAAAATAATATATAAATATGGGGATATGAAATATTGAATTGAGATTAATGTTTTGAAGTCTTACCCATTTATTAATCCATTATGAACAGTGTACAAAACAATCGTCAGGACAGTATGATCACTACAGCAAAATTATAGTAGTATTAATACTAAATTCCTCTGATTTCATTTTCAATACAATCAAAAACTGAGACGCAAGACGGTAAGCTGCATTTGAGTGAAACGAGAGAGCGCGTCTGCGCTTCCGCGGTGATACAAGAGACATGGGACGAATTCCAAACAGAAGTGAGCATCCCTATGCCCTACTCCCTTCGAAGGGCAGAGCCTTTGAAGTGTGTTCTTTGAAGGGTGCAGGGCATTACTGTCTCGTATAAGCGTTTGTAACTCCCTTGGCGAAGGGAATGACTGACCAAATGTTACCTTGACAAATCTGCACGTGCGTGCAGCATTCGTTGCAAATAAATATTTATTATTATTATTATTATTATTTAATTCAAATATTGTCTAATTGTCTTATTTACTATTAAACGTTTTCAAACTAAACTTGCTTACACTACCGTCTTAAATCATATTTCTGTCACTGACGAAAAATCGTCAGTGTTAATTAGCCTATTCTATTTATGTTTGTACGTGAACTCGACCCCAACTTTGCTTTAAAAAGCATCACAAGATCTTTATTATTGTTATTATTATTATTATTATTATTAGGGCTTCATGTTAATGTTAATTTAATGTTTATGCAAAAAAAAAGTGCATATAGCTGCTAATTGTATTTGTTGTTTGTTGATTTTCAAATATAAAACTTATTGAAATGTTTTCAGTGTGTGCATCAGTTCTTTTTGAACGTTTTCATCTAATTTGAACACAACCGTGATAATATTGATAACCGTGATAAACTTTGGTCACTATAATCGTGATATGAAATTTTCATACCGTTACATCCCTAGTTGCAGGCCATGTACACCCTTTCATGCAAACGGTTTTCCCTGGTGACTGTGGCCTCTTTCAACAGTATAATGCACCCTGCCACAAATAAAAAGGTTTGAGGAGCACAAGTTTGAGATGTTGACTTGGCCTCCAAATTCCTCAGATCTCAATCCAATTGAGTGTCTGTGGGATGTTCTGAACAAACAAGTCCGATCCATGGAGGCCCCACCTCGCAACTTACAGGACTTAAAGGATCTGCTTCTAACATCTTGGTGCCAGATACCACAGCACACCTTCAGGGGTCTAGTTGAGTCCATGCCTCCAAGGGTCAGGGCTGCAACAAAAGGGGGACCAACACAATATTAGGAAGATGGTCATAATGTTATGCCTGATTGGTGTATATTACATTATTGACTGACACTGAGTAGCTTTGAAAGAATATGGATTTATAATTCTGCTAAATTGTTATTCAGTTTTTTTCTTGCTTTGTTTGTAGAATCTTGAGAGCAAAATAATCACATTTCTGAAGGAGGAGCTCAAAAAGTTTATGAAAATATTACAAAAAGTGAACACGCAATACTTTGTGAAGGACTTTAATGAGAATAGATGCAGTATCAAAGAAGCAGCTCTTGATCTCACGCTCTACTTCCTGAGAGAGATGAAGCAAAATGGAGCTGCCAATAGGCTAGAAGGCAAGAGTTTCATGACAATCTGTCAGATTATGAATGTAGGAGAGAAAATTAAGACTAAAATTAAGTTTAAAAATTAAATAAAGTTAAAAATGAACTTTTTTTCTGTTTAGATGAGCTGTTCTTCGTTCATCAGCTAAAATCTAACCTGAAGAAGAAGTATCAATGTGTGTTTGAAGGAATTGCAAAACAAGGTGACTCTACACTTCTGAATAACATCTACACAGATCTCTATATCACTCAGGGTTGTAGTGAACAGGTCAATACTGAACATGAGGTGAGACAGATTGAAGTTGCTTCCAGACGTCATGAATCACAGGAAATACAGGTTGAATGCAAAAATTTGTTTGAAGCACCTGAACAAGACAAGCAGATCAGAACTGTGCTGACAAAAGGAGTTGCTGGCATTGGAAAATCAGTCTCTGTGCAAAAGTTTGTTCTGGATTGGGCTGAAGGAAAAGAAAATCAAGACATTGGCTTCATATTTCCTCTTCCATTCAGAGAGATGAATTTAAAGGAGAAAGAACCACAAAGTTTGATAGACCTTATAACCCAGTTTTTCCCAGAGACAAAAGGACTGAACCTTACAAGAAGGAATCAATTCAAAGTCCTGTTCATCCTTGATGGATTAGATGAATTTCGTCTTCCTCTAAACTTTGACGGTAATGAGACATGGCATGATGTATCATCACCAGTCTCTTTGGATGTTCTCCTGACAAACCTCATCAAGGGAAATCTGCTTCCTTCTGCTCTCATCTGGATCACCACCAGACCAGCAGCTGCCAGTAAGATTCCTCCTGACTGTGTTGACCGAGTGACAGAGATACGAGGATTCAATGATGCACAAAAGGAGGAGTACTTCAAAAAAAGATTCACAGATGAGAATCAGGCCAAAGAAATAATTGGTCATATTAAACAATCAAAGAGTCTGCTTATCATGTGCCACATCCCAGTCTTCTGCTGGATTTCAGCCACTGTTCTACAGAACATTTTGGAGCAGAAAATAAATAATCATGTAAAAAACAATCAGACTGATGATACCTCTCATACACTACAGGAATCAAATACTGAAGACACTCCCAAGACTCTGACACAAATGTACACACACTTCCTCCACTTTCAGATCCTGCAGAGCAGACGAAAGTATGATGGAAAATACACAGCAGACGTTTCCTGGGATAAAGAGGCTATCCTTTCCCTGGGGAAACTGGCATTTCAACAGTTGGAAAAGAACAATGTGATCTTCTATGATACAGATCTGGAAGCCTGTGGTATTGACGTCTATAAGGCATCAGTGTATTCAGGCATGTGTACCCAGATCTTTAAGGAGGAAAAAGGGATTGTTCTTGGTACCATGTACTGTTTTGTTCATTTGAGCTTTCAAGAGTTTATTGCAGCACTTTATGCACATCTGTTTCTAGATATCAACAAAAAAAATGTGTTTGATCAAGACACTACAGAACAGGAGAACAAAAATGAAACCATGATTAATTTGCTCAAGACTGCAGTGGACAAGGCACTCAAAAGTGATAATGGACACTTGGACCTTTTCCTTCGCTTCCTTCTCGGTCTGTCACTCCAATCCAATTGGCTGCTTTTTCGTGGTCTGTTGACACAGCAAGATGGCAATGACCAGAGCAAAAAGGAAATAGTTCAGTACATCAAGCAGAAATTAGAGGATAATTTGTCTCCAGAGAGATCCATCAATCTGTTCTACTGTCTGAATGAACTGAATGATCAAACTCTGGTGAAAGAGATTCAGACTCACCTTAGCAAAGGGAATCTGTCAACTACTGATCTTTCTCCTGCCCAGTGGTCTGCTTTGGCTTTTGTGTTGTTGACATCAGAGGAAGAGCTGGAGGAGTTTGAGCTTCAGAAATTCAAGAAATCAGACGAGTGTCTCATTAGATTATCAGCAGTCATCAAAACCTCCAAAAGAGCTCTGTAAGTCGCTTAATACATTTTATCATTTTTTGGTCTGAAAAATCTGAAAAATGTATTTATCTACATTAAACTACAGTGAATCTTAATCGTATACCCCGTATTGTTAACAAGACATAACACATCAGTTCATAGTTATTTCCACTTCAGTATGAAGTTCTCTTCAAATTTTGCTGTAAAGGACATATACTTTTTCCAAACCTCAGTGCTCAAATCATTAACCTACAGATTCAAGCATGCTTATTTGATTTACCTAGTACATTTTTCACTGAATAAAAAATACTTATATACAGGAAATACTAGGTGAAGAGTAATGTCAGTGTTGCTCACCCTCCTCATTGTATATTTACTGTTCCTGTAAAAATAGTGGACATTTTTCTTAAATGTTTCCTTTGTTCCATCTTCTTCTGTGATGTGATATATTTCCCTTGTAGGCTAAATGATTGTGACTTAAGAGACAAAAGCTGTTCAGCTCTGGCTACAGTTCTTGGATCAGATACCAATCTGAAAGAGCTGAACCTGAACAATAATAATCTGCAGGATTCAGGAGTGAAGCTACTCTGTACTGGACTGAAGAATATACAGTGTAAATTGGAGATACTTAGGTACATTAAAGTACTAATGCAGTCTCTTTTGTTTAAAAAATATGGGCAGTTTGTTTAGTGCTTCATTTAGATATCATTTTTTTTACTGGCAAGGCCTAATTGTCATTACCAGTAACTGAAAGAATATACCTTTTTGGAAAATGCATAAACTAGAACTGAGTTTTTAACTGTTACTCTAAAACATTTTTGAATGATTCTCACTGATTGGACAAGTCAAGCTTTAGTCATGATGCTAACTATAACTAACAGCAACTATAAAAATAGTGGGTTTATCAGCCTTACTCTCAGCACCCTTATTACAACTAAAATGGAACTGTTGACTATCCTCACTTTTAATTATTACTATTATTGTTATTTTCAGGCTCAGTAAGTGTAAGCTAACAGAGGAAAGCTGTTCAGCTCTCACTTCAGTTCTCAGTTTGAACTCCAGTAGTCTGAAGGATCTTGACCTGAGCAATAATAACCTGCATGATTCAGGAGTGAAGCTGCTCTCTGATGGACTGAAAGTGAACTGTAAACTGGAGAAACTCAGGTGAGCTGATGTTAAAAGCTATTTACACACAAAACCGACATCAAAAATCTATGGATGTCTGTGGTGTCACGTCGTCTGCATCAGGGCAAAAGCTGTGCTCAAAAATAAATACATGCTAGATGGTCTAATGACCAACTAGCATGTATGTTGTAGCAAATGTGACAGTAATCTGTATTTGTCCATTGTCATTCAAAAACAAAACCTCTGGAAGAGCTAAGACTATGAATGTCCAAACCACTCACTCACCACAGACAAGATTGGTAATAGAGTGTCTTTAAATATGAAAAATGAGGAGAGCCTTCTGTGTGCCCTCTTGACATAATTGGTTTGCTTGCTTTCGTCACTGGTTCGCTAAGCTGACTAGTTAATCAGAGTATCTCTCTCACTGGCTACAACGACATAGTTCTACATGGTTAATCAGCCTAAAAGTTGCCAGTAGGGTCTGGCTAGAGTCAACAGTGCAGAGCATGCACAAAAACTAGGCTAACAGACACTCATCAATGACCCAACATTAACCAATGTTCAACGATCTCTATACTTTTTGTTTCCCATCAAATTCAGTTTTGCTTTGGCAATAACTCATTTATATTTAAGTAAGAAACAAAATAAAAATCATAAACTCTCTTAGGTAACTTTTAGAATAACTAGATTAATAAGCTGAATGTTTCATTTTCATTCCTGTTCTAGACTCTCAAACTGCAGTATCACTGAAGAAAGTTATAAAGCTCTGGCTTCAGCTCTGAGATTCAACCCTTCACACCTGATAGAGCTGGATCTCACAGGAAATGATCATGGACAATTAGGAGTGGAGCAGCTCAGTGATTTACTACAGGATCCAAACTGTCAACTGAAGACACTGAGGTGAGGAGACATGATGAAATGATACAGAATGAATGGTATGCAGGGATATTATTTGTAGAAATATTAATTCACTAAACCTAGATCATGTTCCCTATTAGTGGATGAAAAATCCAGCGCTTACTCAAATTAACATACAGTGGGTACGGAAAGTATTCAGACCCCCTTAAATTTTTCACTCTTTGTTATATTGCAGCCATTTGCTAAAATCATTTAAGTTAATTTTTTTTCCTCATTAATGTACACACGGCACCCCATATTGACAGAAAAACACAGAATTGTTGACATTTTTGCAGATTTATTAAAAAAGAAAAACTGAAATATCACATGGTCCTAAGTATTCCTGACCCTTTGCTGTGACACTCATATATCCTTGAGATGGTTCTACACCTTCATTTGAGTCCAGCTGTGTTTGATTATACTGATTGGACTTGATTAGGAAAGCCACACACCTGTCTATATAAGACCTTACAGCTCACAGTGCATGTCAGAGCAAATGAGAATCATGAGGTCAAAGGAACTGCCTGAAGAGCGCAGAGACATAATTGTGGCAAGGCACAGATCTGGCCAAGGTAACAAAAAAATTTCTGCTGCACTTTTTTCTTTTTTAATAAATCTGCAAAAATGTTTTTCTGTCAATATGGGGTGCTGTGTGTACATTAATGAGGAAATAAAAATTAACTTAATAATTTTAGCAAATGGCTGCAATATAACAAAGAGTGAAACATTTAAGGGGGTCTGAATACTTTCCGTACCCACTGTATTTCTTCATCCTTATGTCTGTAGATATTGTGATGTTGCTATAAATGTGATGATAATATCATGATGTTTAGCAATATTCATTTTAGCAATAACTGGTTATAGCTGTTAGTCTCTGTTCACTTTAAGGGGCGGGGATAGTCCGGCGCGGATGGAGGATGGGCTAGAGAGAGTTCAGAGTTAGTTGGGAGAGTGAGAGCACAGAGCAGCGAGTGCTATTCTTCCTTATTTTTCTTCTGTTTCCTTCTGTGTACGGCGTGGGTTACTGCCATAACAGTAACCCTCTTCAGTGCTTTAATAAAGTTACAGAGCGACTGAGAACGCCTGGTTTCATTAGTAGCGGAACGCTACATTTGGTGTCAGTAGTGACGGACTTGACGCGAGATCTGAGCATTTACCCACGAGATGGATTAAGGGGCCCGGGCGAAAGTGAAACAAGAGGTGCCGGAGGAGATTGTAAGAGAGAAAGGCGAGTGTTTGTGGACACACGGGCCGGCGGCGGATCCACACTGGGCTCAGAGAGAAGTGGCCAGAATGAGAGACCCTTTCATGCTACAAGCTTCTGAAGCTGGCTTCGCGCCTCCCTTCCCTCCACCCACTGAGTTTGTAAATTAACATAATGGCGCCGAAATTACTGCGCAAGCGCGGGCCGGCCATGACGCACTCTCATGATGACGTGAAGGCACAGAATGTAAACAATCATGGCGGCTCCCAGGCCCGCAGCGAATTCACCAGAGACTGTGACATGTGCGCTATAAAAACACCACAGTTCTCCGTTAAGATGGATTGGAATGCATTCAAAGCCCAATTTGAACTGTTAGCTGATGCTGCAGGTTGGTCTGAAAATCACAAAGCTCCGCAGTTAGCGCTGTCCCTCACTGATGATGCGGTTGCCTGTCTCCTATTATTGAGTCCTGCTGAAAGGAACGATTATAATTCATTGGCTGGGGCTCTTCACAGACGATTTGGACAATGTAGCCAGCCTGTCCTTTTAAGACGCAGACGACAAGGTGAGGCCCTCCGCGGTTTAGCTAATGACATTGAATGTTTATGTAAACGCGCCTATGCTGAAATGCCACTATCAGTCCAGAACGAGCTCGCTAGAGACAGATTTATCCAGGCACTAACTCCAAGAAAACTCTGTGTGCAAACGCAGCTGGATCACCCGACCACACTGAGTGAAGCACTAGACCTGGCTATTGAAAGAGAGATATTGGGGGCAGAAATGGATGCTGATGTAATGATGCCAATAGTGAGAGCTGTGGAAATTACTGAATCGTGCTCAAGAGCACCCGCATGGATGGATAATTCTACAAATGCTGTGACGCTGCGCTCAAGCCGCTCTGCCTCAGAGCCCTGCCCACACTGCCGACCTTCAGTTTGCTGGGGCTGTGGCCAGCCAGGCCATCTGATCAGACAGTGCCCCAGGTTCAGTCAAATGCAGGGAAACGCCCAGGGGTCCGTGTAGATGGGGGGACACGGACCCGTGATAACATTTCCCATCAGTCACCCCTGGCTGAGGTTGAGGAGAACGGGGTTGGACCACGCCCTGCAGAGACTGTTATGATAGTGGGCTGGTCTTATGTGGGAAATTTCAGCCACATTCCCATACTAGTGGCGGGAGTCGCTTGCACGGCCCTTGTTGACACCGGTTCAAATGCAACCCTAGTTCGGCCTGATCTAGTTCCAGTGGGGACAGCTTTGGAGCCAACATCCGCTCGTCTGAAAACTGTGACTGGTGACTTTGCGCCAATAAAAGGGAAAAACTTCCTGTTTGACATAGGAGGTCTGTCTGTGTCATTCCATGCGTGGGTGGCCAAAGTGCAGGACCCATGCATCCTGGGGCTAGATTTTTTAAGGGCCGTTGGTTGTGTGTTGGACCTATGTAGAGACTCACTTACCCTCCCTGATGGACGTTCTGTGCAACTGACCCATCCTGCTCTAAATCTGACCCCAGTGTCCCTACCTGTGTATTCGGCAGACACATCTAAGCATGCCCTTGCTGTGAAAAAAACAGTCTGCGAGCCACCGTCTCACACCGTAGAAGCCCTGCCCATTAGTTCCAATTGCCACAGACAACGCGGTCCTGATTATGATATTGCACCCCCTTTTACCTTGGTCCATTAACACCCACTGGCTATTGTTCAGAGGATGGAATGTGCAATGACGAGAGAGAAACTAGGATCTCAGCTTTGAGGGACATTTGGTCAAAAAACTGTGATGGCTTAAGTGAGCAACAAAAAGTGCTCTCGTGGAGGATTTCAAGGACATTTTTGCTCTCAATGAGAATGAAGTGGGCCTAACTCACTTAGTGCAGCATGTTATTGACACAGGAGATGCCCGTCCGATAAGAGTAAGATCTCGTCGTCTCCCTCTGGCCCGTCAGGAAGCTGCAGATAAGGAATTGGAGGAAATGCTACAGGCGGGTATTGTTGAGCCGTCAGAGAGTCCGTGGACTTCAGCAGTGGTAATGGTGCTGCAGAAAAATAGTTCCAGATGGCGATTCTGCATAGATTATAGGCAGCTCAACAAAGTTACAGAAAAAGATTCATATCCCCTACCTTGAGTAGATGAGACACTTGACTTGGTGGCTAGTTCGTCCTGGTTCTCCACCCTTGACTTGAGGTGCGGATACTGGCAAGTGCCATTGTCTCCTGAGTCTGCTCACAAAACTGCATTCTGTACAAATAAAGGCCTCTGGCAGTTAAAGGTCCTTCTGTTTGGGCTCTGCAACGCTCCCGCCACGTTCGAACGGCTCATGGACAAGGTGTTGAAAGGAGTCCCTCGCCATGAGAGGTGGTGGCATACTTTAGCAGGGTCTTTAACAAGAGTGAGAGGTGCTATTGTGTCACCAGACGTGAGCTCCTTGTGGTAGTAATGGCAGTGAGGCACTTCAAATACTATCTGTGTGGCACACTATTCACGATAAGGACAGACCATGCGGCGCTCCAATGGTTGATGTCCTTTAAGGAGCCTGAAGGTCAACTGGCCCGGTGGCTGGAAGAACTACAGTCCTACAACTTTACAGTAGTGCACAGAGCTGGATCTAGCCACACTAATGCTGATTCCTTGTCACATTGCCCTTGTGCTGCTGAGGGCTGCCGTCACTGTGAAAATAAGGAGACTCGAGAGAAGGAGCTGGGTCAAGAGTATGAGGCAGCACAACCTGCATGTGGGGTACTGAGGGTGGTTGACACACCAGAGTGGCAGTTGCAGCAGGAACAGGATGACGACCTGAGGCCTGTGCTGCGTTGGTTGGGAGCGAAACAGAGACCTGAGTGGGGAGATATTGCAGGGTGCTCGTTGGCCACAAAAGGACTGTGGTCCAAATTCAACACACTGCGGCTCAGCGAAGGAGTGCTCCAGCGGGCATGGAAAGAGCCTGCCACGGGGGAGGACAGATGGCAAGTGGTAGTGTCCAAGGCGTTGAGGGAAGCAGTGCTTACAGCTTGCCATGGAAGTATGAGGACTTGCCATTTCGGGGTGTCCAAAACACTCCACCGTCTTCGCCAAGGGTTCTACTGGGGTTTATTTGTGGACTGTTCAACTGCAACACCCGCTGACTGCAATGATAGAGCTTGGAATAGCCAGGACAATTTTTAATATAACTCCGACTGGATTCGTCTGAAAGAAGAAAGTCATATACACCTAGGAATAGAGATGCTCCAATCCGCCTTTTTCGCCTCCGATACCGATTCCGATACCTAGGGTTCGGTATTGACCGATACCGATCCGATACCAGTGAAGTTTTTTAAATAAATGTATAATTTATATATCTCTGTGTGTGGAACTGATGTGGTGTCTTACCTGAGACCCTCCCTGAGTGAGCTGTCATCAGATGTAGACGAGAATGTCTCCTTAGCGATTGAGGTGTTTTGTTGTTGGATGTAATAAGGAACATAGCAGTCGTCATTTACTCCCGACATCTGAAGTATGTCGGGAGTAAATGACTGAAGCTGAAGACGCAGTGGATTACTTTTGTTTTTGAAGGGAATATGCCCCTGATCTACCTAAATACGTTTATGTTGGCGCAAATCATTCGTAATCCAGCTTCACCTACAGAAGAAGTGAGTATAAGGTTTTTTAATAAATCTTTGCAAATCGCCTTTCCTAATAATGTGCTAGTTAGCAAGTTTCATGATGAATGCGGCTAAAGTTTACCATCTCTCAGAGAGCGGCTCGGAAGAGAGGGGTGGCGTGAGCAGAGCTCATTTGCATTTAAAGTGACATGCAACATGCTTGCTCTGAAAAGAGCTGTTTTTGACAGGGTAAAAAGGGTGTTGTTGTTTTTCACCAAACTATGTTACAGACTTTTCATTAAGACCCTAAAGAATCATATCAACTTGTGGAAAATAGGCATCCGATGACCCCTTTAAAAATGCAAAGATGTAGTCAACGTAATGTAATAATATCAGTTTTACATGCAAATGTTAACATTTGCACAATTTTTTTACTCAAAATAAATAAAAAGAGGGCTGTGTACAGGGGGTCCAGAGGCCAGGAGTGGCCTATAAGGCTCTTCCCTAAGGGCCCCTTGCCCTGGAATGTGATTTCTACTGAGGGAGATCCCCTCCCCTTCATGCGATTTGTGATCCCCATCCATCTCCCACCCCACCCCTTGGGAGTTTTTTTTTTTTTTTATCAAGGGGCTCCTCCTTGTATTTTCTGTGATTTCTACACCCAAGTGACTTTGACAAAGGCCAAGTTGTTATGGCAAGGCGACTGGGTCAGTTTCTGTGAAACTATGCATTTCAACTATCCATGTTAGTGCAAACACCTTAGGAGCAGTGAGTTGTGAACACACACACATTGTGGGCACACACCTGATGCAGGGAGCAGCCATTTGCGGTGGTGCCCGGGTAGCAGCTGGGGATTGGGTGCCTTGCACAAGGCTTTAGGTATTGAGTGTGGAAGCTCAGCTTTAGGTATTGAGTGAGGAAGAGAACGCTGTTCATTAACTCTCAGTATTGATTCACTGTCCATTATTGAGAAACATGTGACCTTCAAGTCTGACTTAACAATTAGGCCACAACTATACCCTCCTGTGCTCTTGTTTTGCTCTCCAATTATGATAATTTGGTAACACTTTAGAAAACTGTTCCATCATTAATTAATGACAACACAAGAACACATGAGTAACGTAATATTAGCACTCTAGTAACTACTAGTAACTAACAAGAAACTCTGATTAATGAATTATTAAGTGATAGTGCTTAGTCGAAAGTGGCAGTTCACTATTAGCTAATCAGTAACTATTATTTTTTCATACCTCCCTAAGAACTACTGTACACAGGTTAATAATTAATATGAATGATACATAATGTATAATTAATTCTAAAGTAAAGGTCATGGTAACCCACTAGTAATGACTCAAGTATTACCAAATTCTTCAGAAGGAATTGCTAATTATTTGGATCAGTATTCTAAAGAGAAGATCATGATAACTCCCTATTAATGACTGAAAGCTTTTGAGAGTTTTGTAAAGTATTGGATGGCAACAATTCAGGTGGTACTACATCATTCAAAAGGAATTTTTGGGATCAGTATTTTAAAGTGAAGATTGTGATAACTCCCTAGTAATTACTGAAGTCATTGTATTGTATTGCTTCATATAATAATTGCTGTTAATCGTGTTCATTTGTTCATCAGTGTTTGATTACGTCTTTAATTGATTTTTCTGTACATTTCTGCCATATGTACATTAACTGACAGTCATCACTGATAAGCTACCACTAAATATTGTAGAAACTTAATTTGCTGTAAAGTTGCTTTGCAACGATTTGTATCGTGAAAAGCGCTATACAAATAAACTTGAATTGAATTGAATTGTAAACTTTTGAGGTCTTCATAAGGTTTTGGTTAGTAATTCGTTTTGCTAGATTTGGTAACACTTAAATCATTACAAGTGGGTTACTGTGATCTTCACTTTAGAATACTGATCCAAATAATTAGTAATTACTTCAGAAGGATGTAGTAACACATGAGTCATTACTATCCAAAACCTTACATATATTCAAAAGCTTACAATGATGTCAGTCAATATTAGGGAGTTAAGATGCTTTTCACTTTAGAATACTGATCCAAGTAGTTAGTAGTTCCTTTAGAAGGATTTGGTCATTTTTGAGTCATTACTAGTGGGTTACCATGATCTTCATTTTAGAATTAATTATACATTATGCATAATTAATATTAATTATGAACATGTATACAGTAGTTCTCCAGGATATATGAAAAATAGCAGTTATTGATTAGCTAATAATGATCTACCAGTTTCATCTGAGCGCTATTACTTAATCGTTAATTAGTTTCTTGTTAGTTAATAGTAGTTACTAGGATGGTGCATTAGTCATTTGTTCCTGTGTAGTTATTCATTAACGATGGAACAGTATTCTAAAGTGTTACCAAATAGTGTTTCAATGTTGCAAACACAATTCAATTCTGCTGTAAAGCAGCTCTGAAAAGAGGACAATAGTAACAGTTTTTCAGTTAAAGTCAGTTCATTGTTGGTTCATTGTTTATTAACTCTGTGAAGTTCATTTATGGAGTGTATATCTGAAGGATTGGAGTCTGTCGAGGAAACATGAGCTCATTGATTATTCCTGACTGCAGTTTCTGTAAGTATTTAGTTCCTGTGTGGGAATGCATTGTAACTTTAGTTTAGTGGAAATCATTTTTCATGTATCAATAGAATGTGACTACAAGAATATTTTCAAATAAAGTTGCACAAAAAGCTGCACCAAAACTATCATAAAGAGTGTTTTAGTGACAAGCTCTCACATCACAGTAATACAGTTGCAAACTTTACATTTATTTTTCTTAAAGTTTCATAATGTTCATCTGATTTATATAACATTTTATTCTTAAAACATGATGAAAATATTTTTGTTTCCTGATTAAAAGAGATTCCTTGAAACTCTGTTACTATAGATAAGACTGTGCTTATACATACTGGGCCTCATTTATAAAATGTTGCGCAGAATCCATCCTAAATTTGATCTTACGATCATCTCTCAGATAGGCTTATATTTCCAAAAACCTGCAGCACTTGGGCAAACAAAAGTGTACGTCTGCTCCGACCCTGACGTGGCGCTAAGCTCTTTTCCACGTCAAAGACCATTTTTATAAATATGAACGTTGCCGTGGATTTTTGCGTACACTCTACGATCAAATCTGTGCGTACGCACGTTTTATAAATGAGGCCCACTGTATTAAATATCCACACATATACCAGCCATATTTTGTCGAAGAGTTTGAGGTTGAGTTTTGTTCTGTTCAGTGATCTTATGTTTTTTGGCTGATGTTAGCAGCATTACATGTGAAGACCGGCTGGGCTGCAGCACATCTATCCACTAACACATGAGCCAAACTCAAAGGGAAAAGACACCACACCGTCGGTGTGTGTTCAGTGTAACGGTGTGCTTGCAGGCCTCTGAGAGACCAGGAGCCTGAACCTGTGACTCATACAAACGAGGTTAATCAATGTCTGTAACTGCACTGAGCTGGCAGCCGGTCAGAAACATCAGCTGATTCTGCATTTGCCTGCCAGTGTTTCTGTATTTGAAGTTTGAAACATGATTTTAGCAGCTACCAGTTTCAACTGAGCGCTATTACTTACTAAATCATTAATCAGAGTTTCTGGTTAGGTAATAGTAGTTACTACAATGTTAATAGTGCATTAGTCCTGTGTAGTTATTCATTAACAAAGGTACAGTATTCTAAAGTGTTACCGATAATTTCGCTGAAGTTGCATGAGATGAAGGTTACTAGATTGAGTGCTGAAATTCTATTCGAATTGTTAATTTCACCAGAGGCCGTTAGAAACTTAATAGCTTAAATACAAGCCAATTGCAAGGTCTGGGGTGGCCAACGATGTAGCTGTGCCCCTGGTTAAAAGTAGCTAGATCTTTTCATTACAAACAAGAACATATTTCGTAATTCAGACATTGAACATCCATTGAACATCCTGCTTCATCTTCCCTTCTTCAGATTTTTGGGTCCTGCTGCTGATGAAGCCTGTCAGTATGTGACTAGAGTTGTAGGTAAACACCCATTATTCCTGAGAGAGTTGAATCTGAGTGGACATAAACTAGGAGACGCACGAGTGAATCAGATCGCTGCTCTACTGCAGGATAAACACTGTCAACTCCACACACTGATGTGAGTATATTATATAATTTAGCATGTTACATGACTACTAGTAATGTTACATAATCAATATTAATTCCTGATTTGAGTCAGGGCAGTTTTTTCTCAGAATTAAAAAGAGATGTAAAGATTGACAATATGTCAAGAAGAACCATTGACTAAGCAATCAGTTTGATTATGAGCAATAAAAATAAAAAGTACATACTTGTAATTAGATTTTATTATATTTTAAAATACTCATAACCACACTACAGTTGTTTGTTTGTTTTTGAGCTTAGAACACTCCTCAAATATGTGATGAATTGGGGGGGGGAAAAACACAGATTTATTTCCTAACAGACTGACACAAAAATAACTTTGGTTTTTTTTGTTTGTTTTTTCCCCCCACAACACAGCTACTCATAACTGCAAGATGTCTAATTTTGGTGCAGCATATTAGTGGTCGACCGATATTGTTTTTTTGACAGCCGATGCCGATATCTTGGAAAGCAGGGTGGCCGATGGCCGATATAATTGAATTTATTTTAATTAATATTTAAGACATTTGAAATTATTTGAAAATGGATTTTAAAATAAATGTGTAAAATAAACACTTATAATTTAGATGACAATGTATTTTTAACAAATAAATAAATATTTAATAAATATACAATTAAAAAGGAAGTAAACACTGTAACCAACAGGGCACTCAGTATTCTGAGAAGTTTGTGTGCATTGGGAATCATGTTTTTAAGGTAACAGTAATTTTACATACAGCGCACAGTGAAAATGACATGAATATGACAGTGGGCAAATGCATAAAGAGCAGCATAATTTGAAATCACAGGTTTAAAGTTTGTCGTTCGCGCGTACATATTCAATTCGCACGGACTGACCGTCACACAGAGAACACGCGATCATGCAGGATAGAAATGCACACGTCACAAGATCTCACAGCTGGATTCGGAAAAGACCTCTACAGCGTATACTATAAAAGTGTGGCAAGAGCATGTGTGACCAGTATGGATTGTTATTTCCTTAAATCTACCTTTTCAAAAACTTGTTTTCTGCTTAAAGATTTTATTTCGTATGTGAACACATTTCCAGTGCAAAGCAGAATCTTGTTTTTAGCATGTTTGAATGCTGATTTGTGAGACTAAAGTGATTTATGACAATATTGAGAAGACAATAACATTTTACAATAAGGTCTCATTCATTAACAATAATGTATTAGCTAACAAACTAATAATGGGCTGTGCATGTTTTGTAGTATTCATTAATCTTTCAAAAATGTTTATTAATAAATTAATTAATTCATTCATTAACGTTGTTCATAAATGCTGTAGACATTGCTCGTCAAATGAAACCTGTGTTGCTGAGTAAAAAGTGAACAACAGACCTAAACTCTTTTGAACAAACCAAGGGTGACTGACACAGAAGAGCCAGTCTTGAAATTGATGTGAACTGATTTCATTTTGAATATAAATAATATTTTGTGGTACTTTGTGGTATTTGAAAATGCTCTTTTAATGCAAATGATCATCATAGATCTGAGACCTATTTGTCTCTCTCTTTTGTATTCAGTCTGCGTATTTGCAGTATTACAGAAGAACAGTGTCTTATCCTGACTTCAGCTCTGAAATCAAACCCATCACACCTGAGAGAACTGGACCTCGGTGGGAATGAACTGGAAGACACAGGAGTAAATCACTTATGTGACATACTGAAGGATTCACACTGTAAACTGGAGAGATTGAGGTCAGTAACATTCACATACAAATGCTTAAAATCGCTTTTGAAGTTTAAACCAAAACATGTAATACTCAGTATCTAGTAAAGAGTCTAAATTCACATTATTTGTTAAAAAAAAAAAAAAAAAAAAAAAAACTTCACTGTAGTATTTTGTGATCTTGTGAATTAAAGGGTTAGTTCACCCAAAAATGAAAATTAGCCCATGACTTACTCACCCTCAAGGCATCCTAGGTGTATATGACTTTCTTCTTTCAGACGAATCCAATCAGAGTTAAATAAAAAATTGTCGGTAACACATTACTTGAAGGGGTGTGCATAAGACTGACATGACACCTTCATAATCATGATATGACACGTCATGAATATGAAGGGGGTTTTATGTATGTTTATGACAACTGTCATTAAGTGTCATTCGCTCAGTTATGTAATTTTTAATGCAAAGATGACATTGTTTGAGATGTCTTTGTTATGGGCTATGGTTAGGGGTAAGGGTAGGGGGTAGGGTTAGGTCAAATAATGTCATATTTGCATTAAAAATGACATAACTGAGCGAATGACACTTAATGACAGTTGTCAAACATGCATAAAACCTCCTTTATATTCATGACATGTCATGATTATGAAGGTGTCATGTCAGTCTTATGCACACCCCTTCAAGTAAAGTGTAACCAAATCGTCTTTGATCTTCCAAGCTGTTTAATGGCAGTCAGCGCGTGTTACAGTTCATCAGTCCAAAAGAAGTTAAATAAAGCATATCCATCCATAATAAAAAAAAGTGCCTCACACGGCTACGGGGGGTGAACAAAGGCCTCCTGTAGCGAATCGATGCGTTTTTGTAAGAAAAATATCTATATTCAGAACGTAATAATCACTTTAATCTAGCTTGTGCCAACAGTTGTAAATGGAAGCAGTTCTGGGCGGATGACGTATGAGGTCGGCTTTACGCATGCGCTGGTGAGTTTCGTGAAAACCAGCGTTTGTTAACAGGAGCAAAGGAAGCAAAAGAAAACCAGTCTCCTCTTGGCTTATATCGAAATCCTCCAATACTATTCTTGACAAATCCTCGATTTGTACTTCTAATTCGTGACCATTGTTTTGTTTTGATCTTTCCCCTGCGCTTCCGCGTTCGTCACTTCTGAGCGGCGCATGCGAAACGCTGACTTCATACGTCATCCGCCCGGAACTGCTTCCGTGTACAACTGTTGGCTCAAGCTAGATTAAAGTGATTATTACGTTTTGAATATGGTTATTTTTCTTACAAAAATGCATCGATTCGCTACAGGAGGCTTTTGTTCACCCCCCGGAGCCGTGTGAGGCACTTTTTTATTATGGATGGATACAATTTATTTCACTTCTTTTGGACTGATGAACTGCAACACCCACTGACTGCCATTAAACAGCTTGGAAGATCAAAGACAATTTTTTATATAACTCCGATTGGATTCGTCTGAAATAAGAAAGTCATATACACCTAGGATGCCTTGAGGGTGAGTAATTCATAGGGTAATTTTCATTTTTGGGTGAACTAACCCTTTAAATATGATGATCTTCCTTTTGTCCGTTTTTTTGTTTTGTTTTCTTTCATTTTCTGTCTTTCTCCCAATGTACAGTGGGGAAAAAAAGTATTTAGTCAGCCACCAATTGTGCAAGTTCTCCCACTTAAAAAGATGAGAGAGGCCTGTAATTTTCATCATAGGTATACCTCAACTATGAGAGAAAAAATGAGAAAAAAAAATCCAGAAAATCACATTGTAGGATTTTTAAAGAATTTATTTGCAAATTATAGATTCTGTTACATAACAGATGAAGGTTGTTCTGCTGTGACTTCAGCTCTGAAATCAAACCCATCACACCTGAGAGAGCTGGACCTGAGTATGAATGAAATGGGAGACTCTGGATTTGAAACCCTCAGTGACCTACTGATGAACCCACAATGCAAACTGGAAAAACTAGAGTTAGTATCATTATACTGTAAAAAGTCATATTTAAAAAAAAAAAGAAGAAACAACAGCTTCTAGCATACTGAACTAGTGTGATACATTTGAACCTAACACAGACTATGAGAAGTACAGACTAAATGACAGAAACTCTTCACTAAGATGTACATTATTAATTTGAGTCATTGTTCTTTCTCTTTATGTAATCAGTCTGTGGAGATGCAGAATTACAGAAGAACAGTTTCTCATCCTGATTTCAGCTCTGAAATTAAACCCATCGCACCTGAGAGAACTGGACCTGACTGAGAATCAAATGAGAAGCACAGGAGTGAATCACTTGTGTGAAATACTGAAGGATTCACACTGTAAACTGGAGAGATTGAGGTCAGTAACATTCACATACAATAATCAAAATGATTAAAGTCACTTTAACAGTTTAAACCAATAAATCTTATATTCGGTGTCTTGTGAAAATGCTAAATTCACATTATATGTATGTATGTATTTATTTATTTATTTATACATACTCCAGTATTTTGTGATATGGTGAAAAAGATCAAAGAGCAAAATAAAGGGTTTCTTCTATTATTTTTCATATCTCCTTTTCTCTCATTGTAGGTTAAGATACTGTGATATGACAGACGAAGACTGTTTTCATCTGACTTCAGCTCTGAATTCAAACCCATCACATTTGAGAGAGCTGGACCTAAGTTTGAATGAATTAGGAGACTCTGGATTTGAAAACCTCAGTGATCTGCTGATGAACCCACAATGCAATTTGACAAAACTACTGTTAGTATGAATATACTGTGCTAACTGTACTAACACACAATTCAAATTAGGAGTCTAACTAGCAGTGCTGGATAGTAACTGATTACATGTAATCTGGAATACATAATCAGATTCCAAAAATTTATGTAATTAAATTACAGGTGCATCTCAATAAATTAGAATGTTGTGGAAAAGTTCATTTATTTCAGTAATTCAATTCAATTTGTGAAACTCGTGTATTAAATAAATTCAATGCATACAGACTGAAGTAGTTTAAGTCTTTGGTTCTTTTAATTGTGGTGATTTTTACTCACATTTAACAAAAACCCACCAATTCACTATCTGAACAAATTAGAATATGGTGACATGCCAATCAGCTAATCAACTCAAAACACCTGCAAAGGTTTCCTGAGCCTTCAAAATGGTCTCTCAGTTTGGTTCACTAAAATGCTCATAGTCAGATAACAGTGTTTATAGACTATACAATTTTTGTATAGTATACAGACTATACTACATGATCACATACTGTACTATTTACACACTGGCAGTAAATTATTCATAATGTATTGATTTGCACTATTTCTACTATTTTCTTTCTTACATTTTCCTTTCTAAAAAATTCTACCGCTTATATATAGGACAGTCTTTCAGTTTTATGGAACTGCACACACCAGCCAATGGGTTAGATGACTAGAAGTAATATTTTTCAAAATCTACTCTGTAGTGCACTGGCAACCAGTGCAGGGAACATAAAACAGGAATGATATGGTTCTGTTTTTGAGCACCAGTCAGGAGCAGAGGCGGACAGTAGTGAAGTATTTTTACTCTGTTGTAAAAGTACTTTTCAGGTGTCTGTACTTTATCAGTGTTTTTCTTTACTTCACAACATTCCAAAGCATAATATTGTGCTTTTTACTGCACTACATTTCATATTAAATATCATTTAATACTTAATTACATTAGAAATCTATTACTTTCTTTTACTCAAGTAAAAGTAATTCAAAGATTTACTTGAGTACAAGAAAGTACTAAATTTTTAATGTTCTTAAGTATTAAAGGTAAAACAAACAACAACTTTTATTTATGAAATGAAGTGCAGTAAAAAGTATGACATTATGCTTTGGAATGTAGTGAAGTAAATTTTTCCAAAGAAAAAAACTCTGATAAACTACAGATACTTTCTAAATTTACTTGAGTAAAGTAAAAATACTGTCCGCCTCTGGTCAGGAGTCTAGCTGCCGCATTTTGGTTATTCTGACCAATAATCAGAATAAACTTAATCACAGTAAGATGTTTACATGACAAAAGCAAACCTCATCACTCCAGTTTACATGCAATTTTCATTATTCTGATTATTTCACAAAGAAGTGTAGTTATGGTCATTATTCACAAACTCCACAACACACAAAACTCCAGCGCTTAGAGTGGTAAGGAGACGCTTTTACTCACCTCTGATTGGCCATTGCATTCAGAAAAGAACAGATATGTCTGTGATTGGTTCCATTGCTCAACGCTGCAAAAACACATTGTAAATAGAAACCTTTGAAGCTAAGCACATACACAAATTTGCTTTGGAGCTTTTGTCAAAACTGTTTTGCCAATATCCTGTTATTACAGCCTCAACTGAGAGTGCTTTTGTTTTCGTTTGAGGGTGCTTGGAATCTCTATCATTTCTGTATAGTCAGGACTGCTTCAGAATAATGTCACAGAGTTCAGTCAAGAAGTTGTGAGAACAATACATGACATCCGTGTATGTATGAGCACATGCACACTTTGGTCAGAGTTATAATAATGTGATTGCCTGTTTATTGCGATTAAAATTGGCTTACACCACATAGTTTAATGCAATTATGGCTACTACAATTATTAGCATAATCCAGGTTTAAATAAGAGCAGCATGATCTACCGTATCAAATGCAGCAGTTGTATCAAAGCACCCTCAAATGAAATCAATAGCACCCTCAGGTAAAGCTGTAATAATGGCATTTAATTGCAGATTTGGCAAACTATCCAGTGCGTTATGGTTTTGCTCTCGAGATCGTTTTCTATTTCAACATGTTTTTGCAGCGTTGAGCAATGTAGCCAATCACAGACATATCTGTTGATTTCTTGAACGCAACAGCCACTCAGAGGTGTTATTATAGAATGATAATAGTCATTATAGGTGAGATGTAAATAAGAGATTCATTGTGCCGCATAAAGAGCTTCATTGATTATAATGTAACTTTGTGAGGTCACGATTAACTAAGATGAGTGCTTTTTATTTATTATAAAGGGATGGCAATGTACATTACAAAAAATTTAAAGTTTTATATATGTATATGTATATAAATGTTCACATCAACTCTAAGAAAGGATATTTTCGTGGCCACAGAAAATATCTTTCCTACCGTATTGATGCATTAAAGCATGTAGCTGGATCAAAATCGTAAAGGGACATTATTCACAAGGCAGAACCAGGAACTCATATAATTTGTGCACAAAATGTTTTATTAACTAAACACTAACACACATAACTAATCTAAACAAACAAACATACAATCACTCATACATGGGGAAAGGGCAGATAAGACTTGATGGATGAAACCATCAGGAAATCCAAAGAATGAAGCTATGAAAAGAGTCAGTTAACCACCTGAGTAAAACCATCAGCACCGTTTATAACGGGGTCTATAGCTTATACTAAACCTCTGTTTCGTTTAGTTAAATGTACGATACTTGAATTGCCTTGGTCGTCGAAGATTGTCCGGATGCAGTCTCGGGTGAAAGTCTTGATGGTTTCAAGGTTTTGGACTTGCGATCACGTTCTCCCGGGTTTGAAGAGTGATTGAGCTCCGAAGATGTCCTGAATCGATGGTGATTGGGAGTTTCTTCCCAGGTAGAAAGTGAAGAAGAGCTAAGACAGACATGAGCTGAGATCCTAGGATTTTGGTAAATGAAAAGTCAAGGCTGAGGCCTGGCATAAACTTAGGGTGTCCTTAGAACACATCTAGCTCAGTATCCCCATCTTCTCAGAATCTAAAAAAAGAAGCTAGACTGCCAGTGGATCGCTGATGTGTTTGCCTATATCTTCTATCAAATGGAGCTTTTCCACTGCGTGGTACGACTCAGCTCGGTACGGCTCAGTACGGTACGGCACGGTTCGGCTCGGCACGGTTTGCGTTTCCACAGCAGTTCAGTACCGCTTTAGAGTGGGCGGGATTATTCATATGTCGTTATAGTTGCACCTCCTCTACTGCTGCGACTCCTAAAAAAATGTTTTCATTCCGCATCGCCCCATCAAGCTCTCGCTGGATCCGCTCCTCTGCTATCAACAGACAACAAAACTTTTTGGTTAAAAAAAAGGTGCGCTCATTCAGAACAGTTGCGTTCGATCCTTCACTAGCTGTGCTGATTTAAATCTAGCGGTTCTTTTGTGTTTGTGTCGCAAGTTCAGTGGTAATGACGATTCTCTCCGGCCAATCCGTGATCAGCAGAGTTTACACGTCACGTTTTGGTAACGGTACGGTTCGTTTGGAACCCCAACCGAAGTGGTACTAAAAAAAGTACCAGGTACTGTACCCAGTGGAAAACCCCCCAAAAGTGAAACGTACCGAGCCGTACCGTGCCATACCATGCAGTGGAAAAGCGCCAAAAGTCACACCTCTGTGGGGTCAAAGAGCCAATGGTGTCTTGAACTTTTGGAGGGAAAGTTTACGACTCTTTGTCTCCAAGCATGGTATTTTGCATATGTAATTCGATGGAGTGGAGTGTTGATGCAAAAACTAGTAAAGATTCTTAGAACATTAATATGTTGCACAGGTATCAACATGTAATATACACACTCATTTAGATCATCAAAATGTGAACTCGTAGATACAAAATATGGTGTAGGTGAGGTTATATTAACTCAGTAGTACTCAAACTTTTTTGGTCGCGCCACCCTTTAAACTTATAAAAAAAAATCTGCCGCCCCCCCCTCTTCCCGAATCCCCATCCCACCTCAAGACTACTGTGACGAGAGGGGAGGTGCCGAGAGCCGTGGGAACGGAGCGAGGCCGGTGGAGTAATTGCTAATGAGCGACACCTGCGCCACTCACCGGTCTCGGAGTCTCACGGAGGAGCTCCGGAAGGATAAAAAGGAGGAGTGACGACAGTGAAAGACGAGAGAGGACCAGGCCTGGAGTTTATTTTGTGTTTTGGTTTTGTTTGTGCGTGACAGTCGTCCGCGAGGGGCTGTCGCGCTATTTTGTGTTTGTTTTATTATTAAAGTTTTCTTTGAGCGACCAGGAGCCGAAGGCCAGTTTGCCCTTGCACAGAGCTCCCCAATCTGTGTTGGATGCATCTGTCGAGACAACCTTCCTTCTGTAAATAATGCCCATGGTTACGCCCTGCTTGAACCACTGGGTTTTCTTCCAAGGGCTAGAGCTGTCACACAGGCATGGCTCAACTTGATACATTGGCGTCTGTGATACCACACATGGGGCGGAACTTGTGGTTTCAGCTAACACTGAAGGGGCCTTATGCAAAGCAGGCCCAGCTGTAGTACTGGTGACGCAAAGGCCATGAGGCCTAGCATTCTCTGAATGTCTTGATGGGGCGAGAGGCTCCAACTCTGAAGAAGGCCGCGAGCTGTTGTATGGCCAAAGCACATTCTGGTGCGACTATCAACCTCATATGGACTGAGTCGAATACTGCTCCCAGGAACGAGGCCTGTTGGCTGGGAGACAGTGAGTTCTTGGCAAAGTTGACCCTGAGTCCCAGGCACTCTAAGTGGCTGAGAAGGAGGGATCTGTGGGATATTAGCTTGGCCTCTGACTGTGCTAAGATGAGCCAGTTGTCGAGGTAGTTCAGAATGCGGACTCCCTTCTGTCTCAGAGGGGAGAGCCCCACATCCATGCACTTCATAAAAGTGCGAGGAGCCAGGGACAGTCCGAAATGCAGGACCGTGTATTGATATGCCACTCCCTCTAAGGCAGGGGTGCCCAACCCTGCTCCTGGCGATCGACTGTCCTGCAAAGTTTAGCTCCAACTCTAATCAAAGACACTTGCCTTTAATGTTTAAGTGATCCTGAAGACCCTAATTAGTTGCTTCAGGTGTGTTTGATTAGGGTTGGAGCTGAACTTTACAGGACAGTCGATCACCAGGAGCAGGGTTGGGCACCCCTGCTCTAAGGCGAATCTCAAGAATCGTCTGTGATGGGGGGCTACCTGGATATGAAAGTAAGCATCTTTCAGATCCAGAGAAAAGAACCAGCCCCCTGGGCGTATTTGCAAGAGGATCGGTTTCAACGTGGTCATCCTGAACGGCCATTTCATGAGGGTGCGGTTTAGGTGCCCAAGATCGAGGATGGGCCGGAGGCCACCATACTTTTTGGGGACGAGGATGTAACGGCTGTAGAAGCCTGACTCACTCTTGAGCTGGAGGAACTGTTTCTTCTTTGGCCAGCAAATTCTTCACCTCGGTGCGTAGTACATGGGCGTCCTTGATCTGCACTAAGGTGGGAACCACACCGCTGAATCGCGGTGGTCTTTGAGCGAACTGAATAACCTTGTTTTATAATCCCCAAAACCCAGTCTGACACTCTGGGGATGGCCTGCCAGGCCTCTGCCCGTGTGGCGGGTGGTTGGATTGGTTTGGGTGGCGGGTCGCCGTGAGGGGACTTGACACTCGTGATAAGTGGAAGAGGAAAGTTCTCTTTTTGAAAATGTTTGTGTTTTATTTTTTCCGCTGTCGCAGCGGCTGTTTGTGAGTGCTTTTATCACGGGCCCAGTACTCACAACAGTTTTTGTAACAAACACACTGCCACTGGCACCCGGAACTGAACGGAGTGCTTGGGGGCATAACAGAAGGCGCTTGGGGGGTGGTCCGGTGATGACAAGAATTTGCCCCCCTCTTCCTGTCTAGATTATCAGGACAACGCCTGAGGTGCAAGATCCAGTGCTATCTTGGGCCAGGGTCCTTGGCGCTTAGGAAAAGGTTAGCGTCTGGCCGAGCTACGAGTGGGATCCTCCGACGTAGACCACTCCAATCCCAGCTCCTCCTCCGCTTTAGAGAGGACGCAAAAAAGTTCGGCATCCATCCCTGTTTTGGCATCGCTGGAATCCACAGATGTCAAAGGGGCGGGGTCGACAGTCGAGCCCGACATCTCCTCTGTGTCTGATGCAGTTAGAGACATGCTGTCCTCTAACAGCTCATCCTTAATTCCACCAAATGAAACCATGTTGCTCACATCAGCCAAGGGACGCTGTTCCAGGTGTTCAAAGAGGACGGGAGATTCATCTCTACGTGGCGAGGGCGAGGCACGCGGGGTCTGAGCCGGCATGTGCTCGCTCACACCCGAGCGCTGAACCACTCTGGCCCGCTGTTTTTTCCTCACAGGTCCCTGGGAGGAAGAAAACGGGAGGGCGCGAGGGGCGGAGTCACTCTGAAAAGAAAGCGATCCGAGCGTGCAGAGAGGCGAGACTCATGTTCACGCAGTGCGAACATTCCATCTCGGTCAGAGCGGCTTCTGTGTGGGATTTTCCCTGGCAGGAGACACACTCTGAGTGGCCGTCATCAGCGTGCAGCGAACTCCTGCATAAACTGCAATGACGGCGCGGCATTTGAAACAACGCCACAAGCTCTTTTAGAGGAATTCGCTATTTTAGGCTCGCCGGATGGCGGCAGGTGTGCCGGACACTGAAGACTGCTCAGAGAACAGGTGGGAACAGCAGAGAAGCACAGGTGAGTTAGCTCTTTTTCCGCAGCGAGGCGTGTCAATGGCGAGCGGCTTCAAAGTCCGTAGATCAGCGAAGAGAAGATTGTTGTTGCTGAAGGAGAATAGATCTGAGATCCTATGGCGTAATGCCCGCTTATATAGCCAGATGGCCCAGTCCATTCTGGCAGGCTTCGTCGCCATTGGTTCATTTTTGATTTACTGCAGTTTTTTCCCCATAGCGTCTAGCGACGCAGTAGTACAAGTGAAAGTATCGATAGGGAACCACAGTTTTCAGACCAGAGAACTAGTGTGACACAGTTAAACAAAAACTACAGACAAAATGACTACTGTAGCTCTTCAAGCTCTTCAAAGTCAACATGGATCTGATTCATTGTCTTTTCTCTTTCTGTCTTAAGTCTGAGTAGATGCAGTTTTACAGAAGATCAGAGTTTCATCCTGACTTCAGCTCTGAAATCCATCTCATCACACCTGAGAGAGCTGGACGTCAGTGAGAATAAAATGTACAACACAGGAGTGTATCAATTACGTGATATACTGAAGGATTCACAATGTAACCTGGAGAGGATGAGGTGAGGAACATTCACACACAAGAAAGAGAAAAGTGTTTTGGTATTTGAATGGTACAGAATGAATATTTTGTCTCTTAACTCATTGTAGGTTGAGATGCTGTGATTTGACAGATGAAGGTTGTTCTGCCCTGACTTCAGCTCTGAAATCAAACCCATCACACCTGAGAGAGCTGGACCTGAGTATGAATGAACTAGGAGTTTCTGGAGTTGAAAACATCTGTGATCTACTGATGAACCCACAATGCAAGCTGGAGAAACTATAGTTAGTACCATTATACTACCATTGTACAGCAGTTACAGTTTGATTAAAGTTTAATATTTTTTGTTTAAGACAACAGACTCGAGGCACATACTTTATAGCACCTCATCTTCTCCATCTGAAGAAAGATTTATAAATACTGTTAGATAATGGATTTGTATGTGTATCAGTAGAAAGAGCATTAGACTTTGAAACAATTTATTAGATGTTTCTAGACTAATCTATTATTTTAATCTACAATGAAAAATTGAAAAATGTGTCCAACTGAAGATACTTTATACTTAGATTGAAACTAGTATCCTCAAGTGTTCATTTTTTGGTTTGTGATCATACAATAAATTTTCCATGTATTTGCTTGTCTATTAGTGACTTTATGGCATTTACTCATGATGTGTTTAATTCACACTCACTCAGGAATTTAACATGAATATGATTCATTGTCTTTTCTCTTTCTGTCTTCAGTCTGCGTGGATGTAGCATTACAGAGGAACAGTGTCTCATCCTGACTTCAGCTCTGAAATTAAACCCATCACACCTGAGAGAGCTGGACCTGAGTATGAATAAAATAAAAAACACAGGAGTGAATCACTTGTGTAATGTATTGAAGGATTCACACTGTAAACTGGAGAGATTGAGGTCAGTAACATTCACATATAAAAATCTAAATACTTAAAATCACTTCAACAGTCAAGACTTTATACACGGTCTTGAAGAGTCTGAGAACATATTTGTGTAATTCTTTACCTAAATGATTTGTTTGTAAAATAATTTTTTCCTGTTATTCTGTTTGTCTCTTTCTAGTCTAAATGACTGTGCCATTACAGATGTTTCTTCTTTAACTCAGTCTTTGACAAACAAAAAAGCACTGCAGTTTTTAAAAGAACTTGATCTGAAAAACAATAACATTCAAGACTCAGAGAAGCAGCTCATTGATGTGCTGCGAGACTCAAACTGTAAATTGAGGTGAGTAAATGTCTTTCTGTGGTATTAAAGAAAGCTTCATTTACATATAATCTTGGACTGACAGCCATCCAGCATCACATGATCAATGTCTCTCATCTGTCCTGTTTTGAATTTGACAAGCAACGCGTCACATTTCGTCACACTTACTTTAATTTCGGTTTTACTTAGACTACTACAAACATGTTTAAACTAGAGGACAACAGCTTTAACTCGTGAAAATTTCAGTCAAAGGTTTTGTTGTAATCCAGAATCTGTATTTGCTCCTTTTCATCAGTCACATAAACCATATACTCATCAGCATGTGTTTCTCCTTCACAGTGACTCGATAGGAGTTACAGGTTCTTCTGCAGTCACACTAACATATGAACGTAATTCATGTTTTAAATTGTTTAAAAATATAGTTTTTTTTATATATATACAGTGGGTACGGAAAGTATTCAGACCCCCTTAAATTTTTCCCTCTTTGTTATATTGCAGCCATTTGCTAAAATCATTTAAGTAAATTTTTTTCCTCATTAATGTACACACAGCACCCCATATTGACAGAAAAACACAGAATTGTTGACATTTTTGCAGATTTATTAAAAAAGTACCCACTGTATATCTATGCAAGATCATGTAAAATCAGTAATTAGTCTGATTACAGGAATTTAATATAAGAAATTAATATAATATTTTTATTCTAAATAAATAAATTGTCTAATATAGTAACTAATTTGCACTTTTTTTTCTGCTGAACACCGACTATTTTTTCTTCTGGTTTCATCTGACAGACTAGAGAGAGATTGCTTGTTTCCCAGGTGGATGTCGACCAGGACCAGTAACGAGGACCAGTAATGATCAGGTGAGGATCCACAGAAGAGTCTCACTGCTGTGTCTATGAAGATTAATAAATGTGTGATGTGATGTCTGGATTTCCGAATATAAAATGAGTGTTATATATAAAAAATATTCTCAACTGAGAGTATCTGCACAAGACAATGAAAATCTATCTTTGTAGCAGTTTTAGTATTTATACAGACATGCATTTATTTGATAGCAAATTTAAACAGCCTCATATAGTATTACTTTAACAAATGACATTTTATTTACTTGCATACAGTTTATAGAAAATGCTCAGACTTTTGAATTAATCAGCATTATTGGAAACACACCATATTGGACTAATTTGAGACTTTTCAATCATTTCTGTGATTTAAACAATTACCCACATGTCTGGTGCAGAGCTCTTCCAGCCCAGTTCTTTCTCTAGAAACAGACACTACCTCAGTGTTTGATGTGAGAAAATGTTATATTAATTCACCTTTATAGGGTAAGAGGGCCATCAGTGTCTGTTAAGACTGGGCAGAGTGGAGCTCAATGGTTTCGTAAGCCTGGTTAAGCCAGATCAGGTGAAGGCTGACTTGTTTCTATTTTCTTGATGTATCCAGTAAATCAAAAGGAGTAGGGTTTCTGCAGCCTGTATCTCCAAATTGATGCCTAAACCTTACATTTACCTCATGAAACATCATGAGTCCCTTTACACAATATCTGCCTTGAACAGGGAAAGTGACCAGAGTAGTTTGCATCAGAGTTTGTGAGCAACTCTCTGTAGAAAGAATTGATATTTTCCCAGGGAACCATTCAGCTGGGAGTGAAGTTTTTCCATGCCCAGCTGTGATAGATCTGCCAGTGGTTGATAACACGATGGACCTGACTTTAAAATCTCCTAATGTCCACCCTCAGGCTGAATAATATGGAAGCATATGCAAAAGGTAGCAAAATTCATTTTGAAATGTAATTTGCAAAATGGCAATGCAATATGTAAAATGGCAATGCATTTCTTTATTTAAATGTACATTTTCCCATACATATGTGCAACGTTTAGTGCAAAATGAAAATTAATTTATATAATTTACATTTGCCATTTCCTACACTAGTTTTAATATGTAAATTAAAAACATATTTTAATGCTTTATAAGTTGCAAAATGAAAATGTATTACCCAAATTGATTAGATGTTTAAAGTCTTAGCAAAAACTAGTAAAATTATCGCTTAAATGCCATTTTTCCTAAATGCATTTAGACTTACGGGTAGGACACTTGGGATTGCATTTTCATCGTGATACCGCGTGATAATTATAGTAAAATGAGGCGTGAATGCATTCTGAGCCAAATATACAGCAAAAGGGTAGCAAAAATGGTGATTTAAATGTCTTTTATTTTTCTTAAATGCATCGACACTTACTTAATTGGTTTGAATTGCATTTTCATTAAAGCTGCTGTCCGTAAGTTTTGCCTCTTTGACGCCATCTCTGTTTGAAAACCTGCAATTGCAGCTGTTTGTGGAATTATCTTCCTTGCGTGGGTTGTGCTCAGGCACGGCTCCAGCGAGGATGAATCTAATGTTTTGAGGAGTATGTGTGGCAGTCAGTAACCGCACCAGTGTGGATATTTACTGTACTTCGGAATCACAGATTCTAGCCTACATCTTTGAATACATGACCCAAATAAGAATTTTCACCGGATATTGTTATCTGAACAAGTAAGTAACAAGTCTGCCACGTTTGTTCTGACCAACTGAAGAAAAAAGCATTACAATAAATTGCGCTACTAATGGTGATTAAATCTAACAATCACTTAGCTCATATCACATCAAACCATGCAAATTATTATTATTGTTATACTTTTTTCTCAAATTGTTAGTCACCATGAAATCAAAATTTAAAATTCTTATTTTTTAATGGAATACTGTAGTGTTTATTATAAATAATTTATCCGTGCACTTATTTTTTTTAAATGCATGTGCCCTCGTAATCTTAAAGGGGTGCTATTATGTTTTTTCACTTTTTCAACTTTAGTTAGTCTGTAATGTTGCTGTTTGAGCATAAAAAAGATCTACAAAGTTACAAAGCTCAAAGTCCAATTCAAAAGGAGATATTTTATTTAACCACTTATTCTCTGGGGCGTTTTTGGTATTTTCGCCTAAATTTTTCATACTCAAATTCAAATGTTTACCCTACACACATACAATGGAGGAAATGAAAAAAAAAATGGTTTGATTGTAAAGAAAACCCTTTCTTTACAATCAAGCCCTTACAAAATATGAGTGTAATTCTTTATAAATAACATTATATATTTTTCAAATAGTACAATAAACACAAAAAAAACATAGGCACTTTTGGAGTTTTAAAACAAGTTGTTTTTTTGAAATTCTGTAATTCAGGTTCTATTTGGCACAACTCTCTGCAATTTACTTTGTTTGATGCCACTACATGCCAAAAAGTACCAGAAAAAAGAATCTTTCAAATAACAGCTTCTAAACAGGAGTTACTACATTATTTGTGAAGCGAGTGAAATTGTCAATTTTTGCATCTAAATGTGTCATGGTGAGTTTCCTTTGCAAAAACAGGCTTTATAAAACACATTAACCCCACATTCCTATTGTACTCTGTGCCATAAGCCCTTTAATTGATTACTGATTGAATTATGTTTCATTTTTATGTTTTTCTAAGTAGTAATATACAAAATGGCACAAGCGAATTGGACCAAATTTCACATATTGTGTTATTCTACAATCTGTTGAATTATTTCAGGATGCACAAGACTGTCTACATTATGAAATATATCTGGTCTATCACAATCTAAAATAGAATCCATATCCTCCAGCTTTATATCATTCCATTTATGTGCATTCTGAATTGGGATACTGATTCAGAGCATCTCTCACCTCATCAGTTGACTCACTCCTGTATCCAGCATCTCTCCATGACATCACTGTATCATCCGTGGTCCAGAGCGGACCTAATTTGCTATCCGGCAGCTAGCTATAATATTCAGAGCGTCAAACAAACACATATTAATTCATCCATGCACCACTGTAATAATTCATGTATATTTACTGTATATTCACTGAAATGCATAATATACTGTACTTTTCGGTCAAAAAACAGTGTATCATAATGCTAGCTGTGCTATCAAGTTTCCAAACAGCTATTCTATTATAAACACGCTCACAAATACGCTCGTATAGCCTAAAGCCTGGCTCACACTACAGGAGTTTTAAAATCCTAACCGATTATGAAATCTGGTTGCAGCACACACATAAGGAGAATCTTTGCAGATTATCTTCTCTCAAATCTTAAACGTGCACACACTACAAGATTTGAACATCATGGCGCATCACACACTACAAGATATTATTAAGATTATCATGCCAGAGGGAGCGCCTCATGTGATCGCCTCGTGACCAGGGGCGTGTCTATGTGGTGGCCCCCCCACCAGATATCTTGCGATAGGCTTGTTTTTAGTGCATTTCTAACGGCATCTGGCAGTGGCGGATCCTGTGTAGGCAGCTGCCTAGGGCCGCTTTCTTCTCTTCTTTATACTTAATTTTAAGTGGTTTCTATAGCGTGATCTTAATGACAAATGTCGAGAGCTCATAATGTTAGTGTGTGTGGCCGAAAAACAAATTATTATTAACATTATTGCCTAGAAAGCTCGCAAAGAGCGCTCCTTTTTTAACCACTAAAAACTGTCACTCTTAGTTCGTCGTGATCTCACAAAGTTCTGTTATGACCAATGAATCTCACACTGTGCAATTAATATATTATTAACATCGTCGTGTATATACTCTGTATTATAATGAAAGGATTCGATTGTGATCAGCACAGAACAAAAACTGGTGTGTCACAGCCATTCAGTAAACCAGCATATACATTCTTGATGATGATGAAAGTGTTTTAACTTGAGTAAAGCCCCCAGACCCCCTGCTCGTGACTCCCCCTGCCACCCCCGTACACGTTCAAAACTGAGGCAATTTCACTCCAGCGCTTCTCTTTCTCCTTACGGTTGTGATACGTTTTCGACACATTATACAGACAGTCACTACAAAACATCAAGAAGCAGTTTCGTTTAGGTGCCACGGAACACACGCTATATTACGGATTAAAAGAGAGGAACAAAATATAATGTAAAGTGGTAAATAAGTGTAAAGTTAGAATTGCACTATTTACTTACGTGCATCACTCGGCGTGCAGACAGTGTGATGTGCGACGCACCTGCAACACTTAGGTGCTCGGGGACACGCGATCCATTATAGGAGAAGAATAAAGTATGGTGGCAAATAGGTGAAAGTGTAGAATTGCAGTGTCTATTTGCTTATGTGCATCAGTCGGAGTGTAAACAGCGAGAGATGTTGAGGCAGGTGAAAAGCACTTGGTTAATGGTGAATATTGGCCTATTGTGTCTTGTTGCCGAGACCCGCCTTGATATAATGATTGACAGGTTGGTGGCGTGATTGGCTTGGAATGCATTTTCAAATCCACATTGACTTAAACTACATTATCGCGGGGTATTTAATGAACATGTATTTAATTAAAAAAAATGTCGTAAGTGTCAATGAATTTAAGAAAAATAAAAGACATTTAAATCACCATTTTGCTACCCTTTTGCTGTATATTTGGCTCAGAATGCATTCACACTGCATTTTGCTAAAATTTTCATGCGGTATCACAATGAAAATGCAATCCCAAGTGTCCTACCCATAAGTCTAAATGCATTTAGGAAAAGCGGCATTTAAATGATAATTTTGGTACAGTTTTTGCTTGGACATGTTAAAGATATCTAATCAATTTTAGTAATAAAGTTTCATTTTAATTTTAATAAAAATATGTTTTTAATTGACCAATTAAAACTAGTGTAGGAAATGGCAAATGTAAATTATATAATTGAATTTTTATTTTGCACTAAATGTTGCACATATATATGGGAAAATGTACATTTAAGTACAGAAATACATTGCCATTTTACATACTGCATTGTCATTTTGCATATTACATTTCAAAATGAATATTGCTACCCATATGCTTCCATAGAATAATGCAACCTTTTCCAAACGTGTTCTGCATGTGTTTAGTATTTAGAAAATACTTTGAAGCCTACAAAATGTTTATCATAAACTAGTAATAAGACCCAGAATCTGCCCAACCTAAATTTACGGTCAGGAGACACTAGTTGAATGAGAAGGTGATGCATTACTGGAACAATGATGTCTTGATGTGTAAATAGGAAAATAGCAACAGCATTACCAAAATTGTTGTACCAGTTTGTAATTGTTGTAGGATATTTATCACAGATATTAAGTCTGGCACTTGATCATGTTTTATCTGGTCATTTTGGAATTTACAAAACCTTTACTTATTCTGGCCTGGTCTAAAGAGTGATGTTTCTGCTTACTGCCAGTCATTCCACATACAGTGCCATGCAACAGTTTGGGAGCCCCTTGCAGAATCTGTGAAAATGTGAATAATTTTAACAAAATAAGAGAGATCATACAAAATGCATGTTATTTTTTATTTAGTACTGTCCTGAGTAAGATATTTTACATAAAAGATGTTTACATTTAGTCTACAAGAAAAAAAATAGCTGAAATTATTAAAATAACCCCATTCAAAAGTTTGGGAACCCTTGGTTCTTAATACTGTTTTTTTCTTCTTTTTTTCTTCTTTTTCTCTTGTTTGTTCTGAACAGTTAAACTGAGCACTGTTCTTCAGAAAAATCCCCCAGCTCCTGCAGATTCTTCAGTTTTCCAGCATCACCCCCCGGCTCTTAATGCATCGTGTTTCCTTCTGGAGCATCAGTGAATGTTTGGACCTTTTTAATAGTTGTATTTGAGTCCCTCAATTGTCCTCAGTGTGAAAAGATGGATCTCAAAATCATACAGTCACTGCTGGAAAGGGTTCAAATATGCAGAAGATTCTGGAAAACTAAAGAATCTGCAGGAGCTGGGGGATTTTTCTGAAGAACAGTGCTCAGTTTAACTGTTCAGAACAAACAAGAGACTCATGAACAACCATCACAAAACAAAAACAAAAACAGTGGTGGATCATCCAGGTAACCACACACAGTATTAAGAACCAAGGGTTCCCAAACTTTTGAATGGTGTTATTTTAATAATTTCAGCTATTTTCTTTTTCTTGTAGACTAAATGTAAACATCTTTAATGTAAAATATCTTACTCAGGACAGTACTAAATAAAAAATAACATGCATTTTGTATGATCTCTCTTATTTTGTTAAAATTATTCACATTTTCACAGATTCTGCAAGGGGCTCCCAAACTTTTGCATGGCACTGTATATGCCAGCAGGCTGATATGCCAAATCAGGTAATTCCTCCAGCCCTGTTGCATTCCTCTTATGCATAAACCATTTGAATGCATTCGCTGCATGAACACATGCAGTGGTAGGTATTCTGGCCATCTCAGAATCTGTTCTCCAAGCTAGATATAGACCTTATAAAGTGGAAAAACAATTGAATGACACAGATTCTAAAGCAGAGTTTGCCACATGCTAAATCCATCTTCGACCTGAACAGACAGTAAAAGTGCATTTACCCAGCCCAAAGTCATTCTCGCTGCCCCTTAGCAGTGAATCTGAAGATGAAAACGTAGATCTTCACGAGTATGCTATTATGTCTCCTAGAAACTTAAATTCTTAAAAGATCTTAAAAACAATTCTCTGAAGCCCAGACCCATTACAGCTCAACTGAAAAGGAGGCCTTAGCTTTAACAATGGCACTTCAGCATTTTGAAGTTTATGCAGGTGGAAGTTCCTTTCACCATATATACTCAACACAATCCTTTGACATTTCTTATATGTATATCTGACACAAACCAAAGACTGATGCGTTGGTCATTCATAAAACAAAGCTTCGATTTTTACATCCACCATAAGAAGGGGACATAAAACATATTAAACATTTTGCCTGGGTGTTGGTGTGAAGTCAGAAGATTATTAAGTATGTGTTGTCTACTCTGCAAGTTTTCTGATGTATTTCCCATGCCTCTTCTCTCCTTGTTTTCTCCCTGTACTATTACCAGGTCTCTGCCCCTCACAAGGCCTCATGGACCAGTGGACTGATGATGGGAAGAGCATCATTTAAAAAGCCCAGAGGTAGATTGGATGATGTGGGTTGTAGTGCTTGAAAAAGCAATTTACAGTGATTATTGAGTGTTAGTTTGTGTTGTGTATTAGTAAAAACATTTTTAGAGAACATTGTGATAGTGTAATACTGTAAATAGTTTATATACTGCTTACTTTCACAGAGGCTGTAGGGGTTGGGTGCTATTTTATTTTCTATTTCTTGTTTATTGCTAGTTAAGAAGACAGGGAAGCTCTCTTTATTTTTGTTACATTTCTTAACATTTGTTAACGCACAAATATCCAGTATATTGTCTTTGTTCTGTGGATGGAGCCTCTCCTTCATCAGTCCAGATCAACTAAACTTCAAGTACCAGTTAAAAGCATTAACAGCATGTACCTTCCACTCGTTCCACTCTACATAGACTAATGCATTTTGTTTAACAGTTATCTTCTTTTTCACCACCTGTTTTAGAAATTTTGCACTTCATTGCATTATGTTTTACGGTTAACAGAAATGTCTGTAAAATTACCGGTTATTGTTCTTGCAGAAAATCAACAGTATTTTTTTTATTTGTTTGTTTGTTTGTTTTTACAGTATACAGTTAAGAACAATAATTTTTTGTTTGAAAAGTTCACTTTTTGTTAAACCAATACTACATACATAACGTGTTTCTTCTTAAACTGTTATGGTTCTCTGTTTGTATTTGATTGTTTGCACTATGTCTTGGACTTGGGCAAATGTCTATTGTCCACCTAAGTGGTTATATATATGTATTGATTGTTTATTTGCTATTGTCATTGTGAAGCATCCTTGAGCTTGGGAAAGGTGCTACATAAATTAAACATTATTATTATTATTAATAAAGTTGTAGAGGTGAAATATAAAACTGCATCAGCAACCTTGAGATTACTGTTTGAGAGGAAACCATGCTGATCTGGCTGATATATACAATCAAGACAGAAATCTTCCTGTTGTATACGGAGAAAAAAAAACGGTAAAAATGATATATTATGTATGTACATTTAAAGGGATAGTTCACCCATAAAAAATGGGAAAATCCAAGGCCACTTTTTACTCCCAGTCCGCCTCTGATCATTATGTATGCCAAGTAGTGAAGGAATGCCATTTTTAATCATATTTAAAATTGCACAAAATATAATTGTTTAGGTTAAACTAATAAAATCTTACTGATAAAACTAAAATTGTCAATCAGAACTAAGTAAATATAATGGTTTGCCAAGTGTGAGTTATTTATTTCAGGAAAAGTTGCAAATAGGATTTATATTATAGGATTAACGACCATATTTTGACTATTTCATTAGACTGATGTATGATGAAGGTATATTTTTATTATATTACAGTATAACCGTGTCCTTGGGAGTTGGGGAGGCCCTTCCTTCATTTTTGTCCTTGGCTAATCGCATAGCCTACAGAACAATTATGCTACTGTTTTGTAGCATTCTATAGCCCCCCTAAAAATTGCCTAGCGACGCCCATGGTGTCGCACATATTGCTAAGCATTCTTATCCTTTTCGCCGATGAACTGAAAATAGCAGGAGTGTGTCCATCTCACAAATGTAGAATCTGTCTCTGCAGTCATCTCAACCATTCCAGCAACAGAAGATAGACTAACTATTTTACCCGCTGAGTTTTTTCTCTGGTGCTGTTTTGCGGTGTTGGTAAATTCACCACTTGATTTTGAGTTAAAATATGTTGTTGTAACTTGCGTTACTGAGATTGTAACGAGTAATAATATTACCCAAATTTGATTAGTAATGCGTTATAGTACTGCCGCAGGGGCGTTTCTAGGATTTGAAAACATCTGGGGCTGAGGCCAAAACATCAGGGGCTAATTAGGGGGGAGGGGTAAGCAAGAAAAACGTGTTTTGCAAGAACCTTTTTATGTAATAGTTTAATAATAAACACAAATTAACAAAAATAATATGCAACTTTATACAATTTCATTCAGTCCCATATTTTTTCTGACTCCTCCCATCATTTCACAGTTTTGTTACTAAAAAGGTGCTCATTAAATTCATTACTTTTTCTCTCACACAGGTACTCCACAAAATGTTCTCTTTTACAACTTGTGTGTGAAACAGTGCCATGTACATCTTTTTTAATTATTATTTTACAATAATCTATATTATACTTGCACCTCTTATTTCATTTCTCATTTATGCTAGCACTACTGTCTCATTCTTTCTTTCTTTTTACAGCCTCTCCTCCCTTCTCTTATTGTTCTCTCATCTCTCATAACTCTCATCTGTCTTGCTGCTTGTATCTTGTCTACTTCATGCTCTTGGTGTCTTTTTTATCCTTCTTTACAATCTATCTTTCTGTGTTCTCTATTTCTTTGAGGGTGGAATCATCAGAGAGTATCTCCGAGACTTGACTTGAGCAAAACGGTCAATTACCATGCTAGTGTTTATAGTGCTGAGAATTCCTTTTTCAATTGACAGAACAGCCAAATGGTTGAGTCTCTTCTGGCCCATTGTTCGCCTAAGCCATGTATGTAGACGACGCAATGCACTAAATGACCGCTCACAGCTGGAACTGCTGACCGGTATTGTAAGAGCTGCTTGAAAAACCAAGCTCAGGGTAGGAAACATGTCAGGATCAAGAAGTTTGTAAGCACTGGCCATGTCAGAGACAGCACCCTCTTTCTTCTTTTTTGCCAGGAACTGTTTCGCTACCAGAAGTTCCTCTTTACAAAGTTGGATTTTGTAATGTGCTGCAATGAGGTTTAGAGATTCCTCACTAAGAAAGTCATCAGCTGCTGGATTGCAAGCTTGAATGCCCTTCATGAGCTTTTCCCCAACACCAGAAAATCTGTTGCTCAGCTCACTTATCATGCGGTCAAGACATGGATACAAAAGATGATGTTTAAGTTGGTTGCCAGTATCACATGGAGCCCTAGTGCCCAAAGTGGAATCCACTGCGTAATCATCCATCCGCCTCTGCTTACGGCGGGGACCAGACAGGATCTCTGAGATGTTATTGGACTCGCAAATTACTTTTGTCTCCTTGTAGAGCTGTTCTGCTGTTTCTTCACTGCTCCGCATTAAGGTCAGTGTTTCAAGAACAGCATCTTTGTAGAGTGTTGCTTGTGCCAGGTCCACAGATTCTTTCTGGAGATACTTATGGAACCCCTCTGTAGCAGATAGCAAACTCTTGAACATTACAAGCATGTACACACTAGAACACCTGGACAGTTTTGACAGCAGCCCAATTACTATGGGTGTAGCAACTTTTTCCAGGCATCCTAACAAAGCAGTCAGATTTTCAAGCACAGCTTTGACTGAGTTGAGCTGGCATTCCCATCTAGTTTTAGAGAGCTGGACAAATTCACTGTTCTCTAAACCTAGTTGTTTCTGTGTGTCATGAAATGCTTGATGATTGACCATTGATGCACTAAAGAAGGAATACACATTCCCTAATGTTTCAAAAAAGTCATCTGCCTCTGGTACAGCCCTACAAGTGTGACAAAGTACCAAATTCAGTTCATGGGCGTAACAATGCACATAAACTGCTTCAGGGTGCTTCTCGCGGAAACGAGCTTGAACTCCACCAACTTCACCTTTCATTACTGAAGCCCCATCATAGGTTTGAGCCACACAGAGGACATCATTCAAACCTTTCGATTTTAGCACACGTTCAATTGCATCAGTGATTGACTCTGCATTGAAACTGTTGAGGCTGGACAGTTCAATGAAGTGCTCTTTTACTGTGCCTTTAGCTGTGACATAACGTACACATACAGCAAGCTGCTCAACATGGCCATCCCTTGCTTCATCGGCCATAACTGCAAACATTTTTTTTTACCTCTTCAACTATGCAGGTAGTTATTTCTTCTGCACAGCACTCAATCATCTCATTTTGCGAAGATGGACAGAGATAAGTAGCATTTGAAGGTGGTTTGTAGCTTTGAAGGAAGGGATCAAATTGCTCCAGGAGCTTCATTAACTCCAAAAAGTTCCCCTGATTTCCACTAGACTCTGCTTCTTCATGTCCACGAAAAGAAATACCTTGCTTCCCAAGAAAGCTGGTCACAGCAACAATTCTGCGCAAATATTCACGTCTGTCAACAATGTCACCAATTTGTGCCACATTCATTTTCTCAACAACACTGCCTTCTATTAAACAGGCTTTATAATTCTTCCAAGCAAGCACTGAAGCCTTGTGCCCTAAACTTGCTTCATGCTCTCTGAAACTGTCCAGAGCTCGTTTCCAGTTTGAAAAGCCTCCAGTGTTGATCAGAGAATCTTTATTATTTCGTGCTGGATGCTTTCCATGTATCCTGCAAGCATAGCAGAATGTGGCATCTCTGTTAACAGAGTACTCCAGCCATTCAAAAGAGTCAAACCATCTTTGCTGAAAGGATCTTTTTTGTAGACCAAATCTGGTGACTGGATAATTTTTTAGATTAACTTGTTTTGGTCCTGATTCCAAAGTCCCTAAATCATCTTCTTTCTCACTGCCTTCTATGCCTAGCTGCTTGCCTGCTCTCTCTAACTCATCTGCAATACAAAAGTAAAATACAGAGAATAATGCATTCATTATGCAGATAATTTCTGACAACAAAAAAATATATATGTTATGCATAGTTTAAGATAGTCCAACTTTAAAATAAACTAAACTTTACACACACACACAGGTTTGTCTTTGTGAAAAGTGGGGACATCCCATAGGCGTAATGGTTTTTATACTGTACAGACCGTATATTCTATTGCCCTACACCAACCCTACCCCTAAACCTACCCCTCACAGGAAACTTTTATTTGTCACAAAAACACGCACGCACACACACACACATACACACACACACACACACACACTGTACCAGTGTACAATTCTAACTGATCCTGTTGCAGCTCATCTCTAATGCCATCTATGCCACTGCCATCTGGAAAGTGTGAAATAAAGTTAATAAAGAAATAATCCTTAAAAAAAAAAGTTTTGTATATATTTATCCATTTATTTATGTATTTATTTATTTGTTTGTATGTATTTATGTAGTCTTTGATAATGTCTAAAATATATATATATCCAAATGCAAAACTGAATAAAAGTATGTTTGAAAAGTTTTCAGACATAAGTACTTTGTCTTTGTATACAAAATACTGGTTTTCTATTAAATATATTTTAAAATGTAATTTATTCCTGTGATCAAAGCTGTATTTTCAGCCTCATTACTCCAGTCTTCAGTGTCACATGATCTTCAGAAATCATAATAATATGTGGTTTTGCTGCCTAATTATTATCAGTAATTATTTGTGATCAGTTAAGCCATTACTAATGGTTTATTGGCTTACTGAAAACTGTTTTCACTTAATATTTTTGTGGAAACTGTGATACTTCAACTTTTTCATGATTATTTGATGAATACAAAGTTAAAGAACAGCATTTATTGGAAATATAATTAATTTGTAATAAGTATAAATCACTTTACTGTCACTTAAATAAATTTAATG